CCCGAATCCTTCGATATCTTCAATTGAAAAAAAATGGGAAGCAAAAATATTATGATTTAAATTCGAATCTAATCAGATACCAAAAAGGAAAACTAATGACATATTATACCCAACGACATATGATGTCAAAAGTTGTATGGGCGTTATATAGGCCAAGTTGGTTAATATAGAATATTAAATGTGGTGAAAAATTTGAAAAATTTTCTGTCATAGAAGTAGTATTATCTATAAAATTGGATTTTTTAATAATTTTTTTTGTCAACTTTGGAAAATATAAAAAAAAGTATAAGGAATTCTGATTCTGAACAACTTTAGTAACATTAAGAAGCCGGAATTTTAATAATATTTTTGTATGTAAAATTTTAAAATTTTTAAAATCTCATTTTGATATCGCTGAGTTATATATATTAAATTTTCCATATATTTTTATGACCGCACTAATAATTGAATCCGAAACTTTCCGATCAAAGGACCAGATGCCAAAATCACGGCATTATCGGTCGGATCATATTCTAATTGTAGTCAATTTATAATTTCTAATATAAAAATTTATTCAGAAAAATAAAAGTGATATGAAAATTACGCTTTTTTTACATACCTACATACACATATAAGTTGAATTTATGATATCATAAACTAAAAATTTATTTAATTATAAAAAATTTCTAATAAATTTTATAACGATCAATCTTAATAAAGAAGTAAAAACGATAACTGTTGCATTAATTTTTATTTATATTTTTTTTTAAATCATATCATAAAATTAATTAAAATCGAATTTTATGAATAGAATTTAGAATTAATAAAATTTTTACCCCGCACATATAGTTAACTATATAAGTATTTGGAGACATTCCAAAAATATTATATGATAGTATATTTTCTGTAATTGGTATATACATACTAGTTTGTATTTCGTTTATAATCCGACATTTCTGATACAAAATATATTATAAAAAATAATATTGAAAGTTATGGTGCTAATTAATATTTATGGTGTATATGAGCGCTCAAATAAGCTCTTTCTGTCTGCCACATTATCATATTGTATATAGTCTTTATTTAAAACTCTGACTAAAGTGTCAGTGTAAAATGCATAATATTGGGTATACATGTATGATGTATGTAAGAAGTTCTAATTAAAAATTGTTATGAAAAACTTAAATTAAAAAAATCGCACAACTTTTTGAAAATATGAGTTTTTTTTAGTGCTTTTAACTTTTTTCGGAAAAATTTCGTTTTAATTAATTACCATACTAAATAACTTGGATTCAAAATATTTTCCTTAAATATTCATATACATCTACACCAGTGATTTCCAAAGTGGTCTATATAGACCCCCCAGGGGTTCATGAAGACCTGCTAGGGGTCTACAAAAAAAATATGAATTTAATTAAATAAGTATTAAGGAGGTCTATCAAAAAACACGACAAGGGGTCTATGAGGGAAAAATGTTTGGGAGCCTCTAATCTACCCTATCAATTTGTCTTCATACATGGTATATTTCATAAATACACACAATGTCTTTTTTTTTAATTGAAAATATAAACAAATTTTTACAAATTAATTTGACATTTTTCATTTTTCTAACAAAAAAAAACTGTTAGTTTCATACACAATTAATAACTATGACAGTTTATATTCAGTTTTGTTGATTTTATTTTAATTTAATCATAAGAAAAACACTAACTACCTACAGTAAATGAACAAAAGCATTCAACAACATTAAAAATAACATTAACATAGATGTATACTTATATACTATGTACTTACAACGGTTAATTCAATATGGCGACATAACATTATGCACCTACATACACATATACAATATTAAGTTTCATAAGTTTGCAATTTTTGTTTAAGTTTTTGTCCTTTGCTAATAATTTTGTTTGTTGCAATAAAATTTTTCTTGAACTTTCCATAACTAAAAAAACTAATAATAGATTTTGTCACTATAACTTGCGTATAAAATTCCAATAAAAGCTTTTAACGTTTTTCTTTTCATATGAGCAGCTTACATTAGAGTTCGTGAATAAAATTAAAATATAAAATAAAAAAAATCTGATGTGGTCAGCACATAACCGACCGCATTGTGTATTGTCAAGTTAAATGAAAGTGTTACAGAATATTATAAAAATGTCTGTTAAATACTTCTTTCCAATTTTTAGGACATTAGTAAGTTTATAGTTACCATACTTAGAAAAATGTAAATTTGGCTCTTAGTAGAGTTTCGCTTTGTGCTACCCGAATTCCCTGAAATGCTCGCCAGTTAGTTTCGGTAACAACCAGAACTCAAATATCAAATTTCAAGAAATTCCATCAATTTGTTCTGTGGATATGGTGAAAAATGTAAAATCGGCTCGCAAATCAGTTCTCGAGCCCTGATCTTTCCAAAAAAGTTATATGTTCATTGCTTTAATATGAGGAATTCATATATTAAATTTCAATGAAATCGGTTGATTATTTCTCTTTATATACACAAAAATGTATATTTGGCCCGTAGTAAACGCCCAGTTGCTGATGCCTGATTTCTTCCAAAACATACGAATTTTTGCGGACGGTCGAGCTGAGCTTATATATAAAATTTCAAGTAAATTGGTTGAATATTTTCTTCAAAATGTTCAAAAAAGTAAAACAGGCCCGCTAAAAAGTGCAGTTCCCAAGGCCTGATAAATACCAAAAGTTGATCGATCCGTGCCATGGTGGAAACAAACTTACATGTAAAATTTCATCAAAATCGGTTCAGCCGAACTTGAGATACACGCGTGCACACACAGACCGACAGACGGACAGACCGACAGACCGACAGGTTGCTAAAAATAGTTTATTTACACTTCCCTAGTATGGAGAAGTACGTTCCCACCGAAAACTCGATATGCAAAATTTGTTGCCATCACATAACCTACCTATTGTTTACACAATGCGGTCGGTAAAAACGGTAGCTCTGTTGAAAAGAAAAAAACATTTATGATTTTTTTGCACAATTGCATCGGATAAGTTTGTGTGTATATGTAATTGTAATTTGTAATAAAATATATATATATATATATTAAAATATTTTACGTCAATATGTTATGTAATGCATTTTTGTTAGTTAAATACTTATTATAAAATTAATTCTATGTTTAATTCATATTTTCTTAATGAATATAAGGTTATGTTAACTGATTTATGTACATTGTATTAATGGAGCTTTAATACTGCTGGCAACAATGTAATTTTTTATCTATTTATATATGAGAATTTTTAAAAGTGATTTGATATGCGCTTAATTATTATATTTTTACATAAAATTCGTTAAGATGCTCCTGCCTAGTATTATGGCAGTAGTATTTCTTGCATACCCTAATTTTTATTGAATATTACCTTGTGTTTGACATAAAAATTGTGTTTGACATAATTTAAAACATGTGCTATATTCAATACGCATACATACTTATTATTTATACAGCTAATTGAAAATTCTTATATGATTGCCACAACAATTTTACTAGAATTTGAAAGGACTGAAAAATATTATTAAGTTTTCTCTTGAACGTCAATAAATTCTGTGTGTAAAAGAATTTGTTGACATCTTAAATAATGTCAGAAATTGACAATCTGTCTGTCCGTCAATTAAAATTTTTTTCTATATAAATAAAATTTTTATAAGCTTGTAAATATTTTGTAATAAATATTTTAAATTTGATTGAAATTTAAAGTGTTAATTAGTAACTCAGTTTTAATATACTTGCATACAAATTTATATATTTCTTGTTAAAATTGAAATTTCCTAATGAATTTTGCAAAAAATTTCAACAATATTGTCATTTTACATTTCTCATTTATGTTCTAATTGCTTGTGTGTAATTTATATGCATATATGATGAATTTAGAATGAAATTAGCATGTATTGTTTAAAGTTGTTTTAAATGTTTGCAATTGATTATGCATATATGCAAGTATTTACGTAATACATGTAAAAATCAAGTTAAAACAATATGTTTGTATAGTGATAATTAAGTATAACAGCAGAGATAATAGATTTATACTTAATATATTGTATACATATTTTCTAAATGATTATATTTTTACTGTTCTAAATAATTACATAAATACATAATTACGATATATTTATATATGCTGTGATTGAAATAATTAATATTATTCATTCATAATTATTGGTTTGATCTATATACATACGTCATTATTTCAGAAAATATCAGATTTTATACTAGAAGTTGCGGTTAAAGAAATTAGTTTATTAAAGTAAATTGATACTTCAAGAAGAATAGATCTAATTCTATTTATTTCAATTTTATTTTAATTTGTTCGGAAATTCTTTCTTTGTATTCTTACTTCTTTATATTTAATACTTATTGGGTTGAGGTTCGAATAAAATAAAATTTTTCTTAAAAGTGTTGTATGGTATTGAAAATGTTCTTAATAATTTTATTGGGAACATTTTAAATTGATTAAACAATGTCCTTTTTTTAATTGTAATTACAAAATATTTTAATTTATGAGCGTTTTCAAGAACTAATGACTCAAAGTATTACTATTAATAAAAAAAAACATTGTATTCATAGAAAAATTTAATGAAGAAATTTTGCACTTGACAACTGGTTTTCTTAATTTGTATTAATCCTTCTCTATTGAAAATATTTTAATTTTTTTTATTTATTAAATTTCATTACAAAACGAATATTTACAATATTCATTAACATTTTAAAAGATCCGTCTTCTATGATTACTTTTTAATTTTTATTTTTTTTTTGTTTTACTATCAATATTGCGAATAAGTGAGATTTTTTATTTATTAACTTATTTTAAATATTCTTCTATCTTAAAAAAACAAATAATTAGAAAAATTTTTTTAAATATTTTTAAAAATTTTTCGTAGGCGTTTATTTACCATTTATTTTTTAAATACACGTACAATCTATATATTGACTATTGAATAATATTTAAAACTTGCAATACTAAAGTAAAAAAATAATTTATTTTTATTATTATTTTAGGACTAGTGATACAAATATGGCCAATAATGATGGTGGAACACAATGGACAAGAAAAGATGAACAAGCTGTTCAAGTTAGGCATGCTTTTAAATCTTATGGTACCAAAAAGAATGCAAATCATGTTTTAAATAATTTAAATATGACTGTAGCCAAGGGAACAATGTAAGTCTATAATTTTATTTTAATTAAAAATTCAAATTTTATATAATAATTATTTTTTGATATAAGTAATAAATTATCTTATAAATGGTTATAAAAGAATCAAGAATATTTTTAATAATAGTTATACACAAAGTTGTAATAAAATTTTTTTTTTTAATTTGATACTAGAATTATTTAATATAGAGGAGACATTTAAATGCAATGTAGACAATGTCAACTTGTTTGCTAGTTAATAAATAATGTTACGATAAATATATATACAAATATATTTATTGAGTATGACAATATCATTTTAGTATTTTAAAATTTATAAAAGTTTGCTTTCTAAATCGGTCATAACATTTAAAAATCAATTGTTTGCCAGTTCAGAAAAATTTTCATAGCACTTATAGAAAACAATAAAATTGATGTTCTTTCCATTTCAAAATTTTAGCAGCAATGAAAATTATTTTATTTGGGATGTTTTATTGAAACAAAACCCACAAGCATTGCTAGAATATTACAAGATCGAGCATCTAATAAAATATTTTAATTTAAGAACATCACGTCCTTATTTCCGAACTTGAATTGTCTAAATTAATTTTGATCAACCTTCTTAATAGAATCTGTTAAAAATGAATTTTGAAATTAAATACTTGTATTTAATATTTTGCCAAACAAAAATTAATTTTTTCAATTTTTTTGATATCTAAGGCTATACAAAGAGATGCAACTTATGTACATACTTTTAATAAAATACAAGATCAAAACATTTAAAAATCACAAAAAATTTTTAATATTTTGATTGTTTATAGCAATTCAGCTACTATTTACAATTTTACAATTAAGTTTTTAAAATTCGTTCTCTTAATACTTAATCTTATATTCAGTCATAAATCCATTTTGGTTTTAGAAGTTTACTTTAAATTTTCTTTTACTTTAATTCTAAGCAAATGTTTAATATAAATAAATAAATAATATTTATTTAGAAGGGGCGGCTATAAGCTTGTTGATAGTCCAAACCATTTTTCAAAATTTAAAAATTTTTTAAATTTTTAAAAGAGCCACAATTAAAATCCCGTATTTTAATACGGGATTTTATTTGTTAATATATGGTATATTAAAATACGGGATTTTAATTGTGTCTCTTTTGCGGAATTTTAATTGTGGCTTAATAGTCAACTTATCGAAAATTCCAAATTACAAATTATATCCGTAATGGGAATGATACAAATTGTGTGTCTTAAAACTCTATATCAAAACTCTATATCATTCTTAATTTATTGAGACGGAAATGAAATTTTTTATTACGTTGCGTTGCATTTACTCTTTCATATTTTTGTTCAATGTAATTTAATAGATATTTTGAGATATATACGATAATTATTGAAAATATATTAACAGACAAATGGAAAAAGAACTCTGGTACTTTTATCGATAGCCACAAAAATTTTTTTCAATAACCTGCAGTTTGACTTTTTTCAATGAGCCTTAATATATATAACAATGAATTCAACAGACTGCTACTATATTATTCCGTATGATTACCTTAGCCAATGTATTGTTTACTAAATTAATGTCTGTGACAACATTCTTATTCTATAATATTTGCCAAAAATTTATCTAAATAGAAAAGATTTATAATAAGTAAATATTAGGTGTGAGATACAGAATATAATTAATATTTATTAATAATTATTAATTTGACAGAGTTAAAAATGTAAACATTTACTTTGTTCCTACTGTTATATTTTAATATTCATTTATTTTAAGGAATGTAAAAGAACTGTTTGAAGAACTAAATGTACACATTACTTATATACATATGTATAAATCTTTATTTATTGTTAAAACAAAGGCTAAGCGTTAAATCAATAATTTGCTTTCAAAAAATTTGAAATTTTTCTAAATTCCTTTGTCGGTTGTTGTATCCTTTATTTACTTATGCCTATACATAAAAACTATTAAATTGTATTTACGTACATTAACTATGATTTTATATATATAAGAATGACAATTATTTTTTAATTAAAAAAATGATTTTTAATTACTTTTTAACTACTTTTCATAATTCGCTTCCTCAAAGAAAAAAACATAAGCAAAACAAACAAAAAAAGGTCATAAACTATAAAATTTTTATAATTTTTCTGGCATAATTGATTTTGTACATTTTTTCTATTTAAGCATAATATTAATATGACTGAAAGAATCTAGCATATTAGGAATGGGTTAGGGTTTGTTAAAATATTTTAAATTTTCGATTATTTTATAAAATCTAGCTAATCTAGATTGTAGAATATTTTTTAAAATCATGTAAATTTCTTCTAAAATTCTATTAAAATTAAAAAATTCATTATTTTATTAAGATTAAAGTTCATGTTTCATTTAGTATGTTTTCCTATTAAAATGTATTTTGTCTATATGTAAAGTCTACACTTTAACAACCTTGACATTTTGTATTTAATTACATTAACAAATACATTAGTATATACACATCATAAATGCCTATTATATATTATTTGTATGTATGTATGTATGTATATTTTATATCCGTATTGTATTTTGTACTTTGAGCATTAACTATCTATGTATGTATATATATGTGTATAATTGAAAAACGTTAATGGCCGCAAAATCTATATTAGATGATAATTATATTGTAAATAATTAATATTTAATGAATTGATGTAATTTTAAAATGCTTTCGAAATATATTTAAGAAAAAAAAAATTTATTACAATATTTTATAAGAACTTAAAAGAATGACAACTATAGGATATATATTACTTATGTTTTTCAAATTTTATTATTTCTTTTTTTGTTGCCGCTTTCAATCAATTGATAACGTAACATTAAAATTAAGATAAATAGTAAAGGGAATTGTAGGCAGCTCTGTATAAGATTTATTTACATTGTTAGATGAGCTATGATTCTAACGTCGTATAGCTTATTATGGGAAAACGAACTTTTTTTCTCTAAACAATTTTTATTAAAATATTTGGAGGTTAATATTCGAAGGGTATTACAAATTTACCACTTCACTTGTAACGCTACAAGACCTATGCGTTTCAGGTACAGACACAGGAACGGGTTTTCAATCTAGGCATCGAATTTTAAATCGATTTAGGAATGTCTGTCCCAGCAATAACTCAAAAACCTAACAAAGTTGTCATCAATTAAAAAAATAATTTTAGCCCAATTACCCTATCTAATTTGGGATAATTCAAAGCGTTAGGTTTAAATCACATATAACAGTAAAAAACTATATAGTATTCAAATTATATAAAAATTGCTGGAAAGGTAGGGCCACTCTTCCAATAAAATTTGATTGTGATTATATAAGTTTTTTCTATAGCTATCACACAACTCCATTAATAATTTGATCATTTCATACAAACCGCACAGAGTTACAAAATTTTATTATTGTCAACTAAATTTTGGCACTGCTACTAAACAACAAATATAACTAAGTAGTTATGTGCATGCCCTTGAATAACATTATTTTAAATTTAAAAGAGAACTCTAAACGTTACCAAAAATCGACGCCGTTAATATTTTTAGAAAATAAATATGTTTAGGCACAATACCCTATATACCGCAACTTACTATATACGAGTACAAATTATAGTACGAAAATGACGAATACAATTAATTATACAATTTTTTTAAACATAAAATTCCCAAAATTTATAAGAGAAGAAAAAGCATAATGAAAGTTAAAAAAAAAATAAAAAATTTTACTATTGTTATATAACTTTGAGTCTTTCATTAATTTTTGCTTACATTTTGTTTTTATATCAGCTTTGACACTCTATTTATTAAACCGCCCATATATACAAAGCCATCTACGAGCGATCAGTGTCTATGTATTACATATACATGTACGTATGTATGACTATTATTATTATTTTTTCAAAAATATTATGTGAATATAAGGTTTATATTTTTTTTTAATTTTAAATTTCTACGAAAATTTAAAAAAATATGAAAAAAAAACAAAAACAGAAATTAAAATAAAAACCACATAACGAATAGAAAATTTTAATTTTAGGTCAATGCCAAAAACTTCAAATCTGGTCAAAGTTATTTAAAATGAAAAACGCGCATTAAATATGAACAAAAACAAAAATGAATTTCTTTTCGAATATATTTCAACTGTATTATAGTTTTAAAGTTATTATGTATACAAAAGTACTATGGGCACTTTGTGATAAAAAAAAAGCGCGATTACTCAAAAACGCGATTATTCATCAACCTATTTGTGCATACATATGTATTTATGTACATATGTATGTACGAATATATATGATTGAAGATAAAATGTAATTCACTTGTATTGTTGTGTGATCTATGAGTACTCTATGAATATTATAAAATTTTATAATGAAAATTCATGAGGAAAAAGAAGAGACATTAAAGTTTATGCGATTTTGCGTAATAGAAATTGTGCCCTTTCATTTTGAAATAAATTTTTGGATGATTTTTTTTTCTATACACGCTACACGGCTAATCCAATTTGATTAATTAAACGTTCTATTTGTAAAATCTTGTTTTTAGTTTAGCTATAAAATGCTTAATTAGAAAATTTTGTTTGGGCTTAATCGGTTTAATTTGGCCTGCCATATGATGCAGATGCTATTATGAAGACTTGCCTTGTATGATGAAGATACTATTATTGAAGTAATTAATAAATATTTATAGTACAGTGTAACGATTGTAGTATTTAACAGTGTTTTTCTAAAATAAAACAATCCTATAAAACTTATATCAATTTATAAAATAAAGTTTAAATTAGTCAGTTTGAAAATTTAGCAAGTTTCAAAATTTGTTCGCGCAAATTTTAAGAATTTATTTGGGAAAATCTTTTTCAGACACATTAGGGCTGAGAAATTAACCAATAGTCTAATAGCTGTGTGCTCTTATAGTCTAAAATTATACAAATTTAATTAATATAACATTTAAATTAATATAGTTATAAAATTATTTAAAAATTTTCATTTTACTACGTATATTATTTTGCGGGAATTTTAAAGAACAAAATTAGTAGTAATATAATCATAATGTCTTAATGAATGGATGAAATTAAATGATAAATGCGGTTGGAATTATTTGCATAATAATGAGTGATATTTTTATGAAACACGTAGCTTTTGAACAGCATAATAAATGCACTAATTTTTCCTTTAACACAAAAGAAAATGTTCATTGTTCTCTTTTATAAATATTAAATTATACGTGAAGAAGAAAAAATTTGTAATAATTTTTGTATTTTCCAACTTTTATAATTATTAATTTCCAATTTAAATTTGATTATTTGATTCCCTATAAATATTACTGCAATTCCTATTCAATTTGCTTTAATTAAAATCCCGAGAAAATTATTATTCAAGTTTTTCACTTAAATCTTTTGTGTTATTTAATCTCAGATATAGATTTGATTCCGATATTAATTATTGTTTCAAATCAGTCTTAAGTTCTGTATTAAAATTCTTCATCCTCCGGCAAAGATTTTATTATTTGTTACAATAATTGTAATATATTGTTTTAATAGTGAATATCATTTTAATATTAAATACTTAAAAATAAAATCCAATCAGTGATAAGATTAAGCAAGCGGTGAGAAATCACATTTGAATAAATTCCAAAAAAAAATTTCAATTTATTGGATAATATTTAAGAAATTTAATAGCACTAATGTTAAAAATAAGATGATATATTACAGAAATTAAGTGAGAAAAGAGTGCAACATAGAGATTTTGGAGGTATTGCTTTATCATGAAGTCGATTACTAAGAAAAATTATTAATAACTTAATTTTAAAGAAAATCTCAACATTTTAATATGACAATCAAAGAGGAAATTATTTTTAACTTTTAAGCTGGTTGAATTGAATGCAATTAACAGTTCTTGAACTATCGAATTTTATATCTCCAGGTTCATGAGCTCTTAATTGTGTTATATATTACTATAATATATATGTGAAAAGGCACTTTATTTGTAATTGATTTATGCAAAATAATATGCGCAGGCTTATTATTAACAAAGCGATAATTATTATAAAGAAATTATGTATTTAACTTATTTGACATTCTTGGTACTTTTTTAGAGTAAAATCACCTTAAGTAATAGTTTAATCAATTAAATCTATAATTTTACAATTAAATTGTAATTTTTTAAAAAAATATATAGAATAAAAAAATAAATTCCTCAATTAATTATTTTTAAATTATGCATATTTTTTAATAATTATACTTAATAATAGCTTTATAATAAGTTATTGAGGTTAAAATTAATTTATTTTATATAAAAGATTTTAATGATACATGAAAGAGCAACACTGATTTGAAAAAAAAAGTAATTAATTATAAATTAATTAATTTGAAGCACATGTTCTATGCACGCATTTAAAGTATTCTAATAATTTCAATATTCTTAACTGTTATACCTTTAAAATTTAATATTAAAATTCAATAAATAAAATAAATAATTTTTAGTTTTTTTTCGTTTTGGATTTTCTTTTTAAGTTTTTAATTCAAAATATAATTAAAAATAATTTTTAATAAATATTTGTTTATTTTAATTTAATTTCAGATATGGTTTACTTGGTGCATCCGGTTGCGGTAAAACAACACTTTTATCATGTATAGTTGGTAGACGTCGTTTAGATTCGGGTGAAATTTCTGTATTAGGTGGTAGACCGGGTACAAAAGGTTCTGGTGTACCTGGTAAACGTGTCGGTTATATGCCACAAGAAATTGCATTATATGGTGAATTTTCAATAAAAGAAACAATGATGTATTTTGGCTGGATATTTGGAATGTTATCAAAGGAAATAAATGAAAGATTACAATTTTTATTAAATTTTTTAGATTTACCTTCAGAAAAACGTTTAGTTAAAAATTTAAGGTATAATTTCATTTAGAAAAAAAAAATTCAACATTAAAATTAATTAAATTGAATTTTCACTTTTATTTTATTTTAATAAAGTGGTGGCCAACAAAGACGTGTTTCATTTGCTGTAGCTTTAATGCATGATCCCGAATTATTAATTCTTGATGAACCAACAGTAGGTGTAGATCCATTATTACGTCAAAGTATTTGGAATCATTTGGTACATATAACAAAAGCTGGACAAAAAACTGTTATTATAACAACACATTATATTGAAGAAGCTAGACAAGCTCATACAGTAAGTTTATAATTTAATACTTATTTTATTAAATTTCATTTAATTTATGATATTAATTTTTTTTTTTTAGATTGGTTTAATGCGTTCTGGCCATTTACTTGCCGAAGAATCACCAAGTGTTTTATTATCAATATACAAATGCACTAGTTTAGAAGAAGTATTTTTAAAATTATCACGTGCACAAAACCAAAAAACAGATGCAACTGAAGTTAATTTTAGTAATAATATTTCATCACATACATTATCATTTGGTAGTAAAACTGATAAACCGGGTACAAGTGAAGATGGTATAGTTGGTTTAAATTTTCATCAGAGTAAAGAAGTTTTAATAAATGATGCAAATGGATCAGTTTATACGGTTCGTATATCATTTGCATTTTAAAATGAAAAAATATATGAAAATGTTATTTCTTTATAATTTTAGCTTAATCAAGATCCAATGGCACTACCACCACCAGTACCAAAACAAAAGCCAACAAAAAGTTCATTTACAGATTGTCCAAAATGCCCAGATTTAGATAATGTAAGTTATTTTTAAAAATTAATTTAAACAAGAACCACTGCCCTGCCCTGATTATACTAACGAGGGCAATGCAAAAACTTTAATAAAAATTAAAATAACATATGAAACTTTACTATTTATTGAAATTTAGATAACCACAAGTGGTAAATTAAAAGCACTTTTAATTAAAAATTTCCTAAGAATGTGGCGTAATGTTGGTGTTATGTTATTTATATTTGCTTTACCTGTTATGCAAGTAATACTTTTCTGTATGGCAATTGGACGTGATCCAAGTGGACTGAACATGGCAATAGTTAATGGTGAATTAAATGGTTCAATATCAGAATGTAAATGGACACCAGGATGTCATTTTCAAGATTTAGCATGTCGATATTTAAGTCATTTAAATACAAGTGTTATAAAAAATTTCTATGTTGATTTAAATGATGCAAAAAATGCTGTACGAACTGGTAAAGCATGGGGTGCCATTTATATATCGGAAAATTTTACTGATGCTTTTACTGCAAGAATGGTTTTAGGTATTTAACTGAAATATGATAAAAAAAAAAAAAATTTGGTATACTATGCAATTCTATTTAATTAATATAGGACGTGATGCTGATGAAGAAACTATTGAAGAATCTGAATTAAAAGTATGGTTAGATATGTCAAATCAACAAATTGGTATATTATTAAATCGTGATTTACAATATGCTTATCGTGATTTTGCTATGGGTCTACTAGAAGATTGTGATTATAATCCAAAATTGGGTGATGTACCAATACAATTTAAAGATCCAATTTATGGTACAATGAATCCATCATTTACTGATTTTGTTGCGCCCGGTGTTATTTTGACGTGAGATTATTTAATAAAAATATTTATATATACATACATACACATATACAATTAATATAATAATTATTATTTAATATTATTTTAATAAAAATTAATATAATTTTATTTTTTTTTATTATTTTCTTTTGAAAATATTTTAATTTTTTAGAATTGTATTCTTTTTGGCTGTCGCATTAACTTCATCAGCTTTAATTATTGAAAGAACTGAGGTAAAACATGAAATGCATATATATACATATAAAAAATATAAAGGAGTTACTTGAAAATATTTAAATTTTCTTCTTTTTATTTTTTTATTTTTAGGGTATGTTGGATAGATCATGGGTAGCTGGTGTAACACCCGGTGAAATATTATTTTCACATGTTGTTACACAATTCGTTGTAATGTGTGGTCAAACTGCATTAGTATTAATATTCATGTTAGTTGTATTCGAAGTTACAAACAATGGTGAACTATTTTGGGTTATTCTTTTAACATTATTACAAGGAATGTGCGGTATGTGCTTCGGTTTTGTAATATCAGCTCTCTGTGAATTAGAAAGAAATGCTATACAACTTGCATTAGGCTCATTTTATCCAACATTATTATTATCTGGTGTCATATGGCCAATTGAAGGAATGCCACTTGTACTGAGGTGAGAAATGAACTTACTCATATAATATATGTATATATGGGATGATGAACTTTATTAAAATTAAATTTATATAATTTTAAATTATTTTATGATTTATGCGTTTTATATAATGAGGTGTTCTTAATTTTTTAATTTTAGATATGTTTCTCTGTGTCTGCCATTAACATTGGCGACAACATCACTGCGTGCTATTTTAACGAGGGGTTGGCAAATCTATGAAGCCGATGTATATTATGGATTTTTAGCGACATTAGGATGGATTGTTTTATTCTTAGTGATTACGATGATAATTTTAAGATCAAAACGTGGATAGGAATAACTTTATTTTTAATTTTTTTTTTTAAAAAATTATTATTTTTTTTTTTTTGTAATTATTTTCAATTCAATTTTTTTTTTTTTTATTTTTGTACCATTTGTACATTCAAAAAAAGAAGAAAATGAAAATTTAAGAAAAATTAAAAAAATTAAATTTTTTTTTTCGTGCAAAAAAGAAAACGATTAGTTAAATTTAAGCTTAAATTTTTGTAGATATAAAATAAATTATTTACTGCTAGAAATATATACTAAATAAATATATATATATGTATATGTATGTACATATATATTTACATATATGTGTAAATTTATATAATAATTGTATATAAGAACGTTTGATGGGTGTATTGCAGAAAACAAATTATATAATTAAATTAATATAAAAAAAAAAACAAAAATGTAGAAAAAAAATTAAAACAAATAAATTCTGTATAGAGATTAAAAAAGTCAAAATATTTAAATTTTTATTAGTGGTTAAAATGTTTTTAACTATATACATAAATAAATACATTATATATATAATAAAAAGAATTTATTTATAAGTACAAAAAAAGGAATAAAACACAAAACATAAAAAAAGGAAAAAAATTCAAAAATGAGAATATAATAAAATTTAGTTTTAAAAATTTAAAATTCAAATTTGAATGAATCATAAAAAATTTAAATTGCAAATTAAAGGATATTTTAATCTTTCGATATCCCAAGCTACCAAACACAAGCTTCGTTTGCAAAAACTCAAAATTTTTAAAAACAATGTACGTGGGTCATGTTTAAGTGTTCTTCAGAGAAATCTGAGTATTATTTAAAAATTTACTCAAAATTAATAGATATTATTGGTGAAAAGACGGCTCTTGACTGAAAAAAATACAAACCAGCGAGATTATGACGATTCAACAATGGTGAACAATAGATATTTCGTACGACTTCTTATGAAACTTAAAGGGGGCACTTTTTAACGCCATTAATCTCAAATAAAATAAAATTTCCAATGGAAAATATTTTAAATTCAGTCTTTTCGAATTTTTTTTAAATTTTTTTTAAATATCTTATCCATCATCATAGAAATATAAAATTGACTTAAAAAAGTCTTCCGCATTTTGTAATCTTCTTTTTTAAAATTTTAACAAAATTATCTCACATAATCTCTTAAGGTAATGGTTCAATAATTAAGTCGCTTACTTCGCTTGCTTTCAGCTTCTTATGAAATAGTATAATTTCACAGGCCAAAATTAGCGAAATGGCAATTTTTTTATATAAATGCCTTGCCTTGCAAAGTTTGACAGTAAAAGTGAAGGTTTTCTGCATTGTGTAGTCGAGAAAAATTTATAGTATTTCTTGATGCTACTGTTTCTTTTGTCATCTATCATATGGCCGACTCTTTAATTTGTCTTTATAATTTTGTAAACAACGTATTTTCTATCAGGCCCTTATTATGATCGGCGAAGCAAATGAAACGGCGAATATGAATTTTTGATATTATGAATAGCGAATTCGAATAAATTTTAGGCGAATGAGCTGTCAAATCTGTCACATGAAAATTCTGTAAGACGCTTGGCGAATAAAACCAAAAATACACGAGTTTTTTTTTTATCGGATATTATAGGATTTGGAGTATAAAAATTCTTGAAGTAAAAATTAATTAATATTAATTTAAGCGTGAGAAAAACGAATCAAAAACAACTCGAGCATTTAAATAAATTAATGGACAACAACCCCGTAATTGCTAAAGAATAGAAAAATTTAATTGGTTTTGCAAAAGCCTTAGTATTTTCGATAGGTTTTTTGATCCAAATGTTGATAGGCAGGCAATGAATGAAAGCATTCGCCGATCATAATTTAAAATACCATTCGATTCGAATAGTCCATTTGACTTGCCTACCTACCGTTTCGCCGAATGAATAAGGGTATATATATTGTTGGAAGTTGAAAATTAAATAATTATGTTTAATTCTGTAAGAGGTGTTTCAGATTTTCCTGTGATTATAACCTTCAGAGTTAAAGCTGTTTTTACATACTATATATAATATAAAAATTAACATTATAACTGCATTGGGTAGGTCTCTATACTAAAAGTAAAAAAAAATGTAAGACTTCAACATTATTTAGTTTATGAAATTGCAGACTCTATAATTTTTTTAATTGCTTTAGGAAGCTGTTGTACTTCTCCTTATTAAAACATTTAGAATGAGACTATACGAAAAAATTTCATTAGTCTCTGATTACTTACATATCTCATTAGTCTGTCTAAATAGTCGGTAATATTAAAAATTGTTTGTCGAAGAAGATAAACGTCATTAAGGGAATCAAATTTTTCCATTGATGCGTAACCGTTGTTCCGATATTAATTTTCTTTATGCATATGTATACATATGTATGTAGATTGGTATAAAAATTGTTAAAATTTTATATACATGCACATAAAACTTCTAATATCTATCCAACCTTTTAAAAAAAACAGGTAAGTGTTATTAACAGTTTAATTAATAGTTAATGAAGATGTTTCATACTTCAAATACGCTCTTTATTGTATAATTTTTTCAACCTGATGCATTAAGCATTGTTCTAAAGTTTAAAAAATATTAACTATGTTCATATATTTGAAAAATTATAAAAAAAACTTTAAAATGAAAGAAATTGGGAAATTATCTCTCGAATACTTTGTTGTTCTAAACTTTAACTGATTTTTTATAATGAAACAGGTTTCACAAATTACATGTCCACAAAAAATTACATTATACATGTTTTATTATGCCATCAGATGTCACTACCATAAACATTTTGTATACCATAAGGAATTACCATAAAATTTTTTAGGTTGTTGTATTGGATAAACGTCATAATTCATAAAATATTCTACTAACACTCATACGAAAATCTAACAGCTGTTTCTTATTACGAACATTTTTTTGGGTTAGCTAAGTGAAATTATTCATGAAAACATAAACAAGGAAGTTGCTGATTAAGACAAATTTCACTAATATGTAATTTATCATCTTTATTAAAAAATTTAATTAATAATTAAAAATTTCGATTAAAATAAATCCACGATGGAGAAACTTACAATTGTGGGAAATTTTACGAAAACTTTGGAATTATTAAGAAATACAGAATGCACGTAAGTAAATTAAAAAAATATTTAAGAAAATTTGAAAAAAAGAAAAAAGTGGGAGTAAATAATGTATATATGTAGGTACTTTGTCTAAGAAGACCAAGAAAAAATATACAGTTTTTTGTTTAATTTATTAATTAATTATTTATAATTATCTAAAATAAATATTTTAGGTCGAAGGAAAAAATCAATTATTTTCATCAAATATCTGATTTTATTATTTCACCGGCAATGACATCACAACCAAATTATGCAAAATATTGTAGTAATGCTATTGGAATTCTCTTGTTATTTTGTGAAGATTTAGATACACCTGTAAGAATGAATGCCGAAGAAAATTTAAATAAGGTGATTAGATCAATGGAAACAAACCGCGTCAGCCGAATATTACATGATCTATTTAATGAAATAAAGAAAAATGGAAATGAGAGGTAGGTTTTCTAAATCTGTAAGTTTTAGTTTATGTATATAAAATACCTTTAGGTAAATAAGTTGTAAAATTAAATGAAACTTATAATAATTCTTTACAACTAAACAACAAAGCAAATAATTGCTTTAATTCATATAAAAATATATTATGCATTTGACCATGAAATTATCTTAAAAATTATAATAGGAAGTTACTTACCAATTTTATCAAGTGCTGTACAACATGGTATTGTAAAATATTATATTGTATACAAAATATTCAAGTTCCTAGATTAATTTTATAATTATAATTTTGTAGACTCTAAGTTACTTGTTTCAAAGATGCTTTAAAATTATTTTTATTACATATCTAAGTAGACTTTTAAGGTATTGTTTTTTGTATATTTCGAATACTCTTCAAAATGTTAATATAATTTTATTCATAGAAAACTAATTTAATAAATCTTTTTCGCTATCTTTTAGGTACACTTTAATTTTTTAAATTATTATTTATAAAATATTGACAATTTATGTAATTTAAGGTCACTTCGAATTTGTTTGAAATTGTTTGGGTTCTATTGTCCAAAAATAAAAGAGAAGCATGTTAAATGGTATGCTGTTAAATTATTATCGCCATTACAATTAATTGTCAAAAGAAAGGAACGGGACCTTCAGGAAACTTTGGTCAAATTTATGGAAAGCTATGGAATAAATCTACAAGTTTGTTTGAACGATAATGAGACAGTTAAACTTTTAGAAGTACGATATATTTTATATATTTGGGTTTAAGAATGTGTTTAAATAAAAATAATAATCCTTTTTAGGTAATTTTACTCAATATTATATCAGATTGCCCTGTAAAACGAAGATCTTCAGCTCAAATGTGTGTAACTTTAATTGAGAATTCCAAAAATAAAAGCAAAATGGCTAGCCAAAGTATTAATAAATGTGTTGGTAAGTAAGTCTTCAGTACATCAAATTTTAAGATGATGTCAATTTAAAATTCTTGTTTTCTATCAGATTAGATATTGTTCAGTTTTTCAATACGTTTTATATTCTTTATTCTAGAATTTTGTCATAATTTAAGCATGTAATTTAATTTATTTATTGTCCTCTCTGATTTAAGAAGATGTAAAAAATTAAATGAAGCTCTTTCTTATACATCCTCTCCATACATACTCCCGCGATTTCTCTTTAAATTTCATTTCAAATTAGTTATAGAAAATATGTTTTAGACGAACATACACACATAGGTGTATGTACATAATGTATATGCACTTAGAGGCATTTCTGTACTAGTTTGTGGCATGTTAAAATTTTCGTGAAACTGAATAGGAATTTGAAATTTTATTTACAACACCTTTGGATTAGTTTATACCATAGGTAATTAAAAAAAAATGACCTGTTGTACTCATTTTTTATTAGTTCATTCGCGGTTAGAGAAAAAAGATAATTTTAATGATTTATGAAAACATGTTATAATCACGGTCGATTGTTGAAAAATTATTTGCAGGAACTACTTAAGTTTCTCACGTTGTGAACGAAAACTAAACTTAAAAATATTCTCTTTTCCAATTTAATGCATTTAATTTTATAATACTAACTAATTACTTTATATAGATAAATAACATTTACGATAAAAAGAAGGAAATATGTATGTAATATTATGTTCGCATAATATTCTTTTTCCCTCTTTGTATTCATCATTACAAACAAAATAAATTTTTTCTTTTACTTAACATCTAATTCTTTTATAGGTTTTCTTAAAAATGATGTAGGAGAAAATTGCATACAAAAGAAACGAAATGAAAAAGAAAACGAGCATAAACAAAATCCACAGACACAACAACAACAAGAACAACAACAAACTAATACTTTACTTGGTGTATTAGGATTTTTTCGTTTACTTTTTCCTATCCTAATATCTGAAAATTTAGCTTTTGACGTACTTCAGATAATCGAAATATATGATTTTTGTTTATATTTGCTTAACAATCACAATCATTCCATTATTAATGCATCCTTAGAGGTTATCAATTCAATATTGATGCGGTTACCAGGAAACGAGAAGTTAGTAGAAATTCTTACTAATGGTAGTGAACCTTATAAATGTGTTATTACTCAAAGTAATGAATTCATTGCTGGTAATAATGAAGAACGATTTCTGCAAAATGAATTTTTAAAGAAAAGGAAATCTTTGAAAAATCAAATATTTCAATTATATGAAAAAAAACTGAATACTCTATGCGACATGTCATTATCTACCCCGCCGCCACGTCCCCCAAAACCATCGCATTTAACAACAAAATCACCCGTTAAGTCTACAGCATTAAATACCATCTCTTACACTGATCGAAAGACGTGCACTTTATTGAATGTTGAAGGAAATCATGAACAGCAAGAGCAACTAAATAAATTAAAAAATAGAAATGAAATAGAACAAAGCAAGAAGCATTTCAAAAGTATTTTCACAATTGATTACAATGATAATGATAACAACGCTGAGTGTGATGATGACGGTGCTTTACAGAAAAGGAAATCACCACTCAAGACAACAATAACCAATGATTTTAGCGGTGCACTCGTAGAAGAAGAACTGAATAAACATCAACAAACTGTACAGAACGTAAATAAGAACAAAAATGAAGAAATTTCTTCGAAAAATTTATTTGTTGATGATGATGATGACGGTTTAGTTATAGAATCTCCATTATCTATAACTAAAAATATTTCTGGTAATGGCGCCACCTCATCTACTTTGATTACTAAAATTGAAATTGTAGATACAAATAATACCTTAGAAAATAGTATTAATTTAGATGATGAAAATGAAACTATTATTATTTCAAATGTTTCAGATAGTGATGGTGATGTCAACGAAAACGGTGATAAAAAAAATAACATTCAAATTACAATGCTTCCTTATGTTGTTAGTGATACAAATGAATCAAAGAAACTATTTGATGACAATAATGATATTGATGGTATTGATATTGTTGATAAATCAAAAAATTTTTAATAAAAATATCTTTTTTCCAACGAAAACAGAATCGAAATCCTTATCAATGATGGTGTCATCGTTTATATCATCATCATCTCAAATGGATACCGTTGAGGAAGTATTGAAAGAAAGTGGTGAACGGGCACTTTTGGAAGAAAAAGAAAATTTAGATGGGTTTTCAACTCTATCAAATGAATTAAATGAATATGATGATTCACATTCAAGGATTAATACATCAGAAGATAAATCACAATTATTGAGTGACTTAGATAATGAGTCATTTAATAGTATTGATTTTGAATCTGAAATAACGATAGATAGCGAACAATTGACAGAAAAGACGAAGAAGCCTGGATCTGAAAAGAGTAGCAGTATTACTAGTGATTGGAGATTACAAAAATCTACAGAATCAATTGGATCTTTTTTCAATAGTTTATTATCAAATTCACATACAGGTGAGTTATAATTTTCTATAAGATTTTTTTTAAAGCTTTTTTAAAAGCAAAGTAAATAATAAGCTTTAGTGGTTTAAAAATGGAGTATAAAGTAATTCTTCCTTTTGAACAATTGAAATACTTTCAATTTATTATTACAAGAAATTAGTTGAAAAATTCTCTAATCAAAAAATAATTATATTAAATCCATATAGTCATAAATTAGATGAATATGTTCATTTATTATAATAAATACCAATATTTTTGGGAGTAATCTACATAGTATGATGTTCCAGACAGAAAACTATTTTATTTATGTACATAGGACCCGTAAGTATCGTGCAAATATTATTCGAAAATGCAATATAAATTTCATAATATTACTTGATAAACATTATTATTATCCCTGCCTTAAAATGAATACGAAGGAGAAAAACTTTTTTCATGTATTAAAATTTAATAAAATCATCATAATTATATTAAAAAAACATAAATGTATGTAAAAATTTACTTGTATAATACGTACATACATGTGTCTCCTGGTCCAATGTTGAACTTGTTTGGTTTAGATTTTTTTGTTTTTAATTTTAATTTAAGTTGCATTTTTTATAGGACTTGTTTACCCCTTTTTTTTGTAGAAGGAACTTTTTACTTTCTTTCTATTGTAAGGTACCCTTTAGCATAAAATGATACTATTAAACTCAGGGAACGAGCAAAATAATTCATTCCCATGAGTAGTCGTCTAAATTCTAAAGTCTGTATATTTTGTATCCTTAAATTCTATCCAAGTTTTAAGTATACAAAGTGTAGACTTCTGAATAATAATACCAAAATAAAGCAAAAAAAAATTCCATAATAATTGTAAAATAACGAAATATTTTAACAATAAACAAAAGGGAAGAGGAAGGCGCAACAATCCAAAAAAAAAAACAGAAAGGACATCTAATATAGCAATGGTCATTGTGAAATGAATAGAGAAGCAAACAAAAAAAACAGAAAACAAAATCAAAAAGAAATTCAACATTAAATCACGTAATCCATTTGTCTTCTCCACTTAAAAACACTTCTTATTTCTCCCAAAAACATAAAAAAGAAACAAAAGAAAAAAAAATAGTAAACAAAGATCCCAACAAATAACTTCTAGCATTAACGTTTTTTTTAGCAATCCTTTATTTCCTCTTTTATGCTTTTTAAAAAAATTAAAACATAAACAAAAAATCGCAAAAAAAATATTCAGGACCTCAACATTTTATGAGAGAAAACTAAATGAGGAAGAGACGAGAAAAAAACAAACTGTTGTAACTATGTCCATTGCATCGTATATGATGAATGCGGGTCAAAAAATAATGTTAAACTTCCGAGTGCTGAACACTGCTCAGAATTGAATATTTAAAAAATTTCATGCACTAGAATGCCTTGTCAATGTTTACTAACATGCTTTTTAATTTATATTTTAATTTTTGTTGTTGTTGTTGAACATTTTTTTTTATTGTAAATTATTATATAATTTCCAGTTTAGTAATAATAACAAAACAAGAAAAAATATTTTTTGTTAAAAAAAAAGACGAATTTGCTGCTTGTTTAGTTGCTAACTTTTTTATAATAAGGATATTGAAGCGATATTATGTAATAAATACAACCAATATTGAATTCAAATTAATTTGAAATTATTTTATTATGTAATATGAGATCAATTTTATGTTATCCCAAAAATAAACTTATGTATTTAGTTATGTGAACAGATTTTTTATTAAATTCTTATAAAATATTAAAATAAATTTTAGCTAGATTATAGATATAGCCTCAAAAGAGATAGATATAGCCTAGACTATGATATAGCCTCAAAAATTCTTCTTCTTGTTCTTTGTCATTTGGTTGTAAACAAAAGTGCCTATTGCAATAATTTTAAACTCATGTCATTATTAATTGCATATTTTCGAAATAATGTAGAATTTAAATGATTTTAAGGTTATGATTTTTATATGAAATTCAAATAATTGATTTTAATAATTATTGGTATTTAACTACAACATTTTTTAAAAAATCTGTTATTGGAATATAAAATAAACTGGGAATTTGTGTACTTAATGGTCTGGAGAAAATTATAAGATTTAGGGTGGGAAGGTCTCTGATATTAAAGAAATGAAATATGAATGAACTAAATTTACTTTCACATAATTTTAATAAGATTTCAATTTGATATTTTTCATATTAGTATCAAGTGTTGTGATTTGAATGAAATAATTAAGGTAAAAGTTAAAATACAAAATTGTAAAATTTAAATCTGGTCCATTCTGAATATCTGGTCCAATGAGTAAAAAATAATGTCTATTTTCATTTATTCATTTTGTCTTGGAAAAGTTCAAATTTCACTCGACAAAAAAGGTTATTAATTTTTTTAAATTTGTCTGCCTTATTTCTGGGGCTACGTTATCCATCTATTTTACAGCATAACAAATTTTCAGATATGTTGTTTTTGTTCATTTGTACATAAGTGCAATTTGTTTATAATAAGTCTATTATTTTTTATATATGTACGCATAACCTAGAGATTATAAACTTTCGAATTATTCAGTATATTAAATGGAAAATGTAATTTGTTATACAATTCATTTATTATAATTTCTGATATACTTGTATATGCGAAAGTTTATTTTTTTTTATGCCAATTAAATTCTTCTTTTACAAATAAACCAAAAAACTATATTATATATATTATATTTTTTTTTCTTTGAATTTTTTATTTGTAACAAAAAAAAAATAATAGAATCAGTCACAAAACTTTTTCGACCATCAATAGTAAAATCTTCATCATCTGTAACAAATACAAATGAAATCAACATTGATACTAGTAACGATAAACCAAATCAGAATAAAGATCAAATTCAACAACCAGTTTTAACAATGTCCATGACAAATGAAGAATCTGTTGGAAAAATTGAAGGATGTAATTCTATGACATCAAGTATAATAACAAAAGATGAAAAACGGCAACATCAACAAATACCACTCGCTAGTAGTTATGATACAGCGTAAGTGTAATAAAATTTTATTAGTGAACATATAAACAGTTATTTTCAAAATGAAAAAAACTATAAATTAAACTGTTATGTAACGTTAATATACCTATATTCGGCATTTCATTGTATATGCACATATATGGATTCGGAAATGCACAAAAGTGAATGAATGTGGAAAGAAAAAAAGAAGGGGAAAAATTGTAAATCTTGTTGGAAATTTTTGTCAACATTTTTTGAATGATTTATTTAATAAAAAAAAAAAAGTTATAGATGTTTCTGTTTTTTTAACAGTAAATTATTGCTAAACTTAAATGATTATCTAGGAGTGCATCAATCATAAAGTTCGGTTGACTAGACTTGGGTAATTTTTCATTTTTTCTTATTAAAAATTGAAATGAGATCTCTGAGGCCTGCGAATGATTAAGTTTTATAAACTTTTTTATTTGTCTCCAACAAAAAAGATGCTAAATGTATATTAAACCTATTTTAATTACAATAAATGAAGAAATTTTTAGAAGTAATTGCAAAATTAAAATGAAAAAGCATTTGGCAATTGAAAGTTAGTCAAAAAATTTTATATAGTTTGATAACATACCGCTGTTATTTAAAAAGAAAATTGATTTTCTTATAGTAGTTAAGGATATAGAAATCCAAATTTCCATAGCCTTGACATTAAATAAATATTTATATTACTAATACTTAGATATTATAAAACAAAATATTCTTATATTAAAAATACCAGAAAGCATGAAATTTATAATTTTTTTGATTTTATAGTTCTACAGCATTTTCAAATTTAGTTACGACATTAACCGTAACAACACCAAAAATAGAAAGAAAAATAAATATGACCACAATTGATGATGATACAATATCCCTAGAGTCTATAAATTCTCATATCTCAATGTTTAGTCACGTTTCATATCAAAGTAGTAGTGGAACACAAGATTTTATCCTTAAGAATGAACAGGATTTAGATATAATACAGGAAAATCAACACCAACAATCCGTACAACAATCACCAGAAAAAGAAAAAAAAGATATTGTGGAAAATTTCATCAAAAATTATAATGTTGATAACGACGATGAAATTGAATATGTTGAATCAAATAATCAAAACAAAAAAAATGAATTAGAGTCAAATCATCATCAACATCATCAACAACAACATAGTCACCATCAATATGAAGATTATAATTTAGATGAACATAAGAATAATGAAAAAAAGGATTCTCATGCCTCAAGTAAAGTTTTATTGGATGAAAGTGGTATACATATGAATAAAAATATATCCTCAGTGTATAAAATAAAGGCGGATTGTTATGATAAAGTTGAAAATCTAAAAAGCATGATGAAAATTGCAACTAATGAAGAAAAAGAATGTGAACAACAAGAAAATTTTAAACAAGACGAAAAACGTCAAAATATGGCTAGAAGTAGAACACTAAGCACAGATAGTAATTGCAGCAATATAAGTAAAAAATATAATCCTTTTAATAATCTTTCTAATATTGGATTTTCAGCAAATAATTTAGGTCCCTATTTAGAAATTGGTGATATATATGATCAAAATATTATTTATTATACAATTCGTTTAATTACAACAAAATTTTTGTTAACTGGAACACCATATTTTGGTAGCCAAATTACAAATGATATAACTAAATCATTAATATCGGATCAAAAAGTATTAGTATCAATTAAACATCTATCATTAATGGTAATTGGAAATTGTATAAAACTAATGCCTCAAGCTTTACAGATACCATTAGAATTTGATTTAATTGAATTAGAAAAAATAAGAGAATTTAATGAAAAAGATAATGCAGATTACATGTCATCAACATCTACAAGTAATAATAGCAGTCAAGATTTGGGTAAATTATAATTTTTTTTTATTTAGAAGTTTTTCAAATATTACAAAAGAATATAAATATGCATATGTATTTTTTGAAACTATGTTATTTAATTTTGTTTTTTAAATTTTCAGAGAAGAGTCCTTTGCAACCCATAGAAGAAGCTATTCCACAAATTGCTCCTAAAGATTCATTGAGTAACTCTCAAAGTAATGGAAATTTTGAATTAGAAATTAAAGATGACCATTTTGGTGAAAGTACAGCTACAGAAATATTACTAAATTATCCAATGTCTCGGAGCTGCGATTCTTCCCAGTTAAAATCTGAATTAAAAAGTTCACCACAAGTTTTACCAAAATTTGAAGAATCAAAAGGTGCCAAGCCCAAATCAAAATTTTCTTTGTTAAGTAAATTAATACCTCAACCAAAAGTAATTGATTCGAAAACAGAGTTTCATGTTACCGTTAACGAAACACCTGAAGTGTTAACAAAAATATCTATACCGATTAATAATGTTAGTGAGGATAAACCTCCGATTTTACCAAGAAGGAAATCTCTTTTAAAACACTCTAAAACAGTAACAAATAGTGATGATACTTCCAAAGAAACTCAAGATAAAAATATTTATAAAATTGTTAGTCCGATGAAAAGTCCAATGAAAAAGTTAATAGCACCAAATCCTAATAAGCAATTTGTTAGCGATATTTTATTATTCTACAAACATTCTGATCCAGTATTACGTGGTGATGTTCAAGTTATTGTTGGAAATTTTTTATATTCTGCTTTGAAATCAGGTTTCTATAATATTATGCTAAACGATATAATGCAATGTAATAAAATTTTATATGGAAATGAAAATGACATGAGAATTCCTCGGGAATCTGTTATTTTTGCCAAATATTCATTAAATATAGAGAGATTAATGGCAATTTTAATAATGGTATGTGTATTTTAATTAGTTTATTAAATTTTAGAAAATTATTGTATAATTTACATAGTTGTATACGGCAAAAATACGTACGATTTATCTATAGTACAATTCTGAAATTTAATTATAATGTATAATAACTTAAAATTATAAAATTAAGTTTATGTTAATTTAATAATTTAATGATTTCAAGATTGCCTTAAAGCTTAAAATTGCCTATTAAAATTTAAATGTAATTGCTAAAAAATATTTATTGCAATAAGTATTTAGTATGAAGTTTCCTTCCTCTGACATTGTTATTAACATTTTGAATTTTCTATCTTTTGTTTAGAAAAAGCTCTTTATTATTGAAACATAAATTTTTATAATATATAAACTCGATTTAATTTACAGAATATTGCCTTTTTTGCAGATATAGATTGTAATATTCAATAGTTATCTAAAATAATTTAAAAATTTTACACTAATTTCTTATCTATACCTACAAAATATTGAGTTATTATTAGTTTTTATAAACTTTTCATTTGAAAATATGTTAACGATCGGAACTTTGCTATTTTTTCTTCTAATTACTTAAATGATAAAGGAATTTATGTAAGAAATAAATTTTAATTTTTAACCTCAGAGTCAAATTCTAATAAAATAAATTTAAGAATTCTTTTTTTTTTTTGTACAATTTGTAGTAAATTTACCAAAAGTTATCGTATTGTATAGGTAGAATATGTAAAGAAAAACCTACTTATTAGATATAGTCATAAAAATAGCCTTATTATAGAAGAACTTCAGTATATTATAAAATATTTTTTGTAATAAATAATAAGAAGGAATCATTATGAAAGTTAATATTCCATTTCTTATCTTATATTCTTTATTTTTCTTCTTCTATATAGTTGTTCAGTTCTTTATCAATAGAGAGCTTTAAAGTAATGGAAGCATTTTTATTTGTATTCATCTTCCTAACAATAATTTTTTTTTCAAATGTTGTGATAAAATTCAGTTTTAGTTTTTGATATTTAATATAATATTTTAATAATTTGATTGTTATATTATATAAGGTTTATATAGAGATAATTGATTATTTTATTATATTGTAAATTTCGTATTGTTGAGCAATCTCATAATGTTTCAATCATAAGATTCTGTTTAGTAAAACCAATTATGTATCCAGAATTCAATGTGTTCTTTTCAAAATTCTTTCAAAAATTTGTATAGATGAATATAATCATCGCATTATTTTGTTGAAAAGGGAACAAAATTAAGATAGTGTAAAATTTTGTGTAATATAAATATTTCTTTATATTTTAATATGAATTATGAGATGTGGAAATAGACCTTAGTGTATTTATGTTTAAGAATAGAGTACTATTTCTAATGGTCTATTTTTATTTTATAATTTAAGAATTTTGGAGAAAAACCTCAATAGATTTATTCTAGAGTGGAACATGTAAATTTTTCTAAAATACTACGATAGACGAAGAAGTTACTTTTTTTTTTATTTTGGTTCGTTATAAGTTTTTTTTTATATTTCGTTCATCTTCAGTTTTTTCTTTTTATAAAATATTACTTTTTTTCTACTTGTTATGGGTAAAAAGCATTATCCTTAGCGATTTGAATTTTTTTTTTTATTCCCTAACTTTTATTTTTTTTTCTTAAATAATTTTTGAACTTTTGGTTTATCTTGTTTTTTTTTTTTTTTATAGAAAACTAAAATATTTTTTATTTGTATTTTATATTCTATTAGAAACTGCATCCTTTATGCTATCATAAAAATATATTTTTAACTTATCTTATCTTATATTTTCTATTTTATTCTTATTTTTTTTTAATATGTATTCTTTAAATATTCTTAATACGCCTAAGGGTTTGCGAGATGAAATTCATACTGTGGTCATACATGCTTTGACCTCTTTTGATAAAATATTCCCATTGGTTATGCTAAAGCATTTTAATCATTTGTATCAAATAAAGAATAATGAGAAGAAAACGAAGAAGGAGCAAGAAAATATGAAGTATGTGATGTTGAATATGCAAGAGAAAAAGTTTAATTTAAATAATAATAAAAATGAAAATAAAAATAAAAATATAAAAATAGAAATGGATGAAAAAAGAAATATCATAAAGTTGCCATCAGCGGAAATTACAATGTATAAAGATTGCGACACTCAAGATAAATTAATAGACAAAATATTGATGATGATAAAAATAAGAAAAAATTTTTATTTAAAAAGATATAATAATAATAAAAATGAAAAAAGTTTTATAGAAAATTACGACTATAATAATCAAAGCAAAAGTAATAATAATTTAAAAGAATTTGTTGTTGAAGAATCAAAAGATGAAAATGATAACATCACTTTGAAAATGATTTTAGATGAAATTCGTTTATGTTGTCATAGTAAAAATTGGTCTGTACAAAATAAATATATTGAAATGATAACAAATTTTAATATTTTTGGATTACAAGAAGCTTATTGCAATTATAATGATGATAAAAATAATGTTGATACTGATAATGATGAAATAATTCTTAGTTATCAGGTAAGAATAATTTTTGATTTTATATTTTTTCCATTTAATTTTTAAATTAGTTTTAAAATAAATGATCCAAAAATGATTAGATTAAGATTGATGTGCTTTTTATAGTGAGCTTCAGTAATAGGTAGATGCAAAAAAACTTTTTCCATTTTTTAACTTAATTCCACGCCAGCTTTATAAGTAGTTTTCAAATCGATGGTATTGGGTGTATAATTGAAATTGGTATAAGGTAGATTATCATATTAAAGGAATAAGCTGAAGTAATAAACTGGATTCAATAATTTCGAATCGGTTACTTACGTAAGAATGTTGTTAGTGGAAAACTTTACAATAGTTTTGGACAACTCTTTCTAAAATACTTACATGTGTATGTAAGAAATGACTAAAAACATGAAGAATTTAAATGATTTTAGCTAGTTTTCAAATGATTTTGTTATGTAATACTCTTTTTCGAATGGAAGTTAGGTTCTAAGAATTACACAACTTGAAGGAAGCTCAAAAAAGTAGAAAAGAATGTTGGCATCCGGTTGAAAAATATTTTTTTAAACATTTAAATTTCCTGGATATATTTTTTTCTAAGTTAATGGGAAAGACAAGGAAACATAATGGTTAACAGATTTATTATGGAAATCTTTTTTAACAAAAAAATTTTTGAAGTAAAGAGTGGAAAGTAAAGTGGCAACAATAAATTTTGTTGCTACTTTACTTTCCATAATTTTGTCAAATTTGTTTTAAAACCTTTCCTGACAAATAAACAATATACCTGATAATTTAATTGTTTGAAGTTGTCAAACAATAAAATTTGTTATTTTTAAGAAAATGAAATACTAAAATTTGTCAAAACTAAATTTATTCAACTAAATAATATTTTCTTTTTATTATTTTCTTTTTTTGGAAAAATTTTCAAAATCTTTAGCGAATTTTAATCAATGAATTTATTGAATTTCTTGGTAATGATGATTTTCGTGTGAGAAATCATGCAATTCAAAATTTACCGCAATTTATTAGAAATCAATGTTTCATCGAAGCGAATTTAAGTAAAATGAAATCACGTCACCAATTACAATCAAAAAAGTTATATGATGAAAATCAATACGAAAATTTTGAAGAACAAAAACAACATGAATGGAATCGAAATCAGTATCAGTATTGGCAAAATCAGCAAAATAATTTAAGTTTATTGACAGAAGAAAAAGAACAGAATAATCAAGAGAAAAAATATCAAGAGCAACAGCAGCAACATCAATATTTAAAACAACAACAGCAACAGCAATATGAACAGCAACATGAGCAAATGCAACAACTTTATATAACAAATTTCAATCTTGTTAAAGAACTTTTTAACTATCGTATTTTTTATGGATTGTCTCCAACATTTGGAAATTTATTGAATGCCAAATGTTTGCCCAGCAATCAAATTGAAAAACTTTTAGCGAAAGTTTTATATATTCTAACAAATAAACTTATGGAATTGAATAACAAAAATTTGCAGGTATTAGAAATATATTACAAAAAAAAAAAAAGAATTTACCATAGATAGCTATGTATGAATATAATAACAGAAAAAAAAATATTTTATTTACATAGTTATTTCAGTTTATAAAAAGTTAACATGCATTTGTAATTCATAATAACAAACTATACTAACTGATTAAAGTTGAGGTAAATGTAAATATGTACTCTTACTTACATAACATAAAAACAATAAGAAAATAAATTTTTCTTTCTTCAAATGGTACCAAGTAGAATAAAAAGTTGTTTTAGGAACTCTTTAATATTTACTGAATCGGTGTGTCACATATGATTCAATTTATTTTTCACACAGTTAATGAATCACGATATTTTTTTTGATTTATGTTAAGGACAATGGAACATTTTGTATATATCTAAAATGTGCTCTTACATTATTTAGCAAAATTTTAAAATGGATCTTCATATATTTTACAAAATGTAAAATATTTAGAAATTTTTAATTATAATAAATTCATAAAAAAAAATTCTTTGTATCACAAATTTTAAAATCAATTCCCCAAGTTGGACAAATTATTTATTTATTAATTTATCAAAATTATTTGTTATTTAGAATATATCACGGTTTTATATTTACTTTTTGTTAGAGGAATCATGTGCAAACAAAAATTATTGTACAAATTGTTTTACATTAAACTACAATTAAGAAGAAAATTAAATAAAGAAATATTAAATCAAAGAAATTCAATTATAAGGTCTTAAGAATTATGTTTACTTGAATTACATACATTTAAATCTGAAATCATGATTTTCATTGTAATTTTATATTTATCTTTACATTTTTTTTCAAAAACATTACAGTATATTACATAAAATCGAAATCTATATATAATATACTGTAATTTAATAAATCGCAAATAAAAACATTATGCAATTAACTTTTTATTTATATATATATATTTAATTTTTTTCCAATTTTACTTTACATATTTCGTTTTTTAAAAAAGATTGGCGTTATTGGAGCTATTAAAACCTTATTATATGAATTTCATCCTATCGATTTTTATGAACAATGGAATGAATTTAATATTGTAAGCATTTGTATGCAATTCGCTTATGAAAATTATCCACTTGCAACAGATTTAAGTTGTCAAAATGATTTGATTGATATAACGACAACACTTTTATCAGGTAAGATATTATTTATTATTAAATATATATGTATATACATATTTATATTATTTATATAATTTTCAATTGCCTTTAAAATTGGCTTAATCCTATTTATTTATTCTTCCGTTATTTTGTATAATTAAAAGGTTTTTTTTTTCAGTTTTCAAGTAATTATTAATATTTTTCATTTAATTTACTTTAAATTGGATAAAGAAATTAATTGCATTTTATTTAAATTAGAGAAGATCATTATATTTCTGAAATATTTTATATATAATATTATTTTATTCTGTTTTAAAATTACAGAATATATTTTATGTTTTACAAAGAATTTTACATTATTAATACACTCACCGTAATTATTGTAATTTAAAATTTTTTAAGAAAAAAATATTTAAAAAAGAATTGGCGCATTTTATTACCATATTAAATAGATTTGTACATAATATGCAAATTTACTTTACAAAGTACTGTACAGATACGTTAGAAAATGGTTTGCTGTTTTTTTTTTTCTGAATAACTTAAATGTTATCTAATTAAATAACATTCTTAATTAATTAATTTATTACAAACTTCGCAAATTTTTTCTGGTATTTTTAATTTATTCAATTTATCGGGAAATTTTTTTGAAAAACATCATTTTTAGAATACAAGTAAAAAATTTGTAAAATATTAATTAAAAATTTGTTTAATAAAATTTTTTATTTTTTTTGGAATGAAAAAAATTTCAAAAACTCGCATGTTGTGTAAAGAATTTAACTTAATCCTGTCAGAATATTGATGATTCGTATTAAAATTTTTTTCCGATCCTATATATACATTATCTTATAATCATTATGTAAACGGTTTTTATTCAATTTCATTTTATTTAATTAAATTAAATTTAAATTATTATGTTCCATTTGTATTTATAAATTTTTCTCAAATTTCATTTGTAATGTGGTTAACACAGATTAAAAAAGGGAAAAAACAGAGAAAAAAAACGGAAATCCTTTCATTAAATAAAAATCATACAAAAAAAAAATGCGAAAATCATTGATTACAGTATTATTTTTCAATATAAAAACAAAGGTTTAAAATTCTTTTGTCTACCCAAATATGAAAATGCATGCATAATCGTATTATATTCGTGGACATAATATAAAAAAAATACGGTTTATAATCTAGTAATACTGTATAAATAAATAAAATGTAATTCATAGACATTTTTATATATAATTATGTTTACATTTATTATTACGTACATATATATAAAAAAATATATATATACAAAAAATACAAAATAATAACTATTGGCAAATTTCATGAAAATTATGTTTCAATAGCAAAAAGTTGCCTTTTCCAAATATGCTAAACAAGTTTTTAACACTAACTTCTAATTCCAGCCAAAATTATTTAATTTGTATAATGATTTCAGAGTCTAATATGAAGCAAACTAGAATGGCCCTATATTTTGGTCATTCCCTTGCCAAGCAAAAAAATTATATTTAATAAAATTTTGGAAATAGATTTTGCCCTCTTGAATAAATATTTAAACATATTATTAGTATTTTCTTTCTATTTTTCATCTTTTAAAATTTTCATTTACAATTGTGACCAGTAGTCTTTAGAAAACTTCTTTGGTCAGTTCGTCGAATTCTATCAATTATATAATATGCAAATTTATTATACTTAAAATTCGATACAAATATTAAACATTAGTCTCATGATAATATTAAATTTAATTAGATAAAAAAAATTTTTAACCTCAAATAATATGCTACATGTATGTAGTATGAAAAATAAAAATACAATTATTTTATTATGCAATATAATCCAATTAAATTTTAATTTATTCATTTACTGTTGCTACAGGTTTGTTTACAAGGTATTTTATATACAGAGGAAATGAAAAAAAAAAAAAAAATAAAATTTAATACCAATGTTTTCAACTAATATATTTAAAAAAAATTTCATTTGATTATTTTTACTATTTATAAAATAATATTGCATACTAAGCTGGCAAATAATCTTTTAAAGGTTTTAAATTAAAATTCAATAAAAATTAATAGTATGTAAAATTCGATATTTTTGTAATTTGGTTTTTTTACCTTTTAGCTATTCGGATACTTTGAATTCAATCTTTTCATATTCATTCATTAAAACATGTTATAAAAATTAAGGTGTTAAAATTTATATAAGTAAAAAAAAAATATGATGTGGTCAACATATAATCGATCGTATTGCTGCCTTTTTTCTTTGCAATATTTAATTAAGTTTTCAAGCTTGTGATATGTTTCCATAATAGTGTAGTTCATTGTATTTTCAACAACAATTAATTTAGAAAATTTCAATAAAATTTCGGACGAAATCGATTCTGTTAAAATTTGATATTGGAGTGCATAGACATACCAATAGAACGATATTTCCTTAAAAATACTTTTTTTGCGTTTATGTCCAATATATAGAATTGCATTCCTGTTGAAAATTCTAAACTTGAAATTTATTGTGATCACAATACCTTCTTTTATGCTTTGCCGGTCGGTAAAAACGAATGCTACTGATCAATTTAAATATTAAACATGACTGGAAGCAAAATAGATTGAAATAAAATGATTTTAATTTGCTTTTTTTGTTTTGAAAATAATACTTTATTTTTTAAGTTTATAATGTCTGCATGTACGAAAAAACATATATGAAATTTTTTTTGGTCCATATACGTGTTGATTACCATGTTTCGAAATACAATAAGCATGAGAAATTGAATAAAATAGCGAAAAACAAGTACTTAGCTCCGTTAAATACAGGAATTAAGAAATTTATTATTAATTTAGATTATGAAAATAATTTTTTTAAGATGAAAGGAAGCATGATAAAATATAATATTAGTTTATAAGAAACGAAATTATTTATTTGTCTAAAGTTTTTTAGGTTATGTTTTTTATATTTGCTTATTCTTTTTTCAGCAAACATGTTACATAACAGCAAAACAATTGATAATAATTTAATTGAAACATTATTTGGGCATGTCATGAAAATATTGAACATTTACAATCATTTATTAGGTAATCAAAAACCAATATTATTTGGTAAATCGCATAAAAATGAGTTATTTCAAAATTCAAAAGAAATTGCTATCATTAGTAATTATGGATATTTCGGAAATGATTACCTATATATTAAATTATATAATTTGTTGAAAATTAGTTTTGATAATTATAAGGTAAGTTTTCATTTTAATAGTTTTGTTAATATACAATAATTTAGATAATTGAAAAATGTATGGAAAAAAAATTTTGTAGAAAAATTATGTAAAATAATTGATTAATTGAAAAACAATTATTTTAATTTCAATTTTCATACTTTTCAAATATATAGATTCAAATTAAACCGGATTCTGGTGAAACTATGATTCAATTGTTAAAAACATGTTTGAATGCATTATCTACATTACTGGATATTAGAGAACATGCAACAATTTCATCACCTCAAGAAACAACAAAATCATCATTTACATCTGTATTGGGAACACCAGCGAAAAAATCTAATAATAATCAAAATATTAATAACAGCAGTACAAATAATATTCAATTTACTGATATTAAAATTATTGAAGAAATTCTTCAATATCTAACAACATTGATAAATTATCAACCAGTGGAATGTATAATGTGCTTGAGGCAATTATTGAAATTTCTTTTTGGTAATAACTATGCAAGTCGTAAAACTGACTATGAAAAATTTATAAAAATTTATTTAAAAGCTAGAAAACAAATTTTTAGTGAAAATAATTTTAATGAAAATTTGAAAAAATATCATAATAATATTATTAGAAATGATGCAAATACTATTTTAATATCAAAGAAAAATAATGAAGAACCAGAATTATATGTAAAAGATGAAACTGAAATATTACAAGTGAAAAATCAACAAAATAATTCATATAATATGTTTGTAATGGAAAATTTAGATAAAAATAAAATTGATGTCAAAGAAAGGATATCTGAACAACAAAAACAACAACAAGAGCAACAGAAAGAGCAACATAAATTGTATTCACCGCGAGTAATAAAACAGAATAATATTCATGAAACATTGAAGCAAGAGACGGAAATAATTCTTTTAGATTTATTTCGATATTCTATGAACTTTCCATTGGGAAAATCGAAAAGTGAAGAAGATTGTGCCAAATATATAAAGTTATTCGATCCTTTAGTTATATTTTGTTTACCGGTATGTTTTAAAGTTATTTCGAAAGTATTCTTGTTATAGTAACTTGTTCTTAATTGTACATATTACAAAATTTGGAATCTCTATACGAGCACATTAAATTAAAATCCATGAAATGTGGTATCATTCTATAAAAATTTCACAAGTTTATATTTCTCTTTTCAGTTGTTTATGAAATCAAATGCAGTTATACAGAGGCCTATTTTAGATTTATTATCCCAACTACTTGAATTCAATGTAACTTATAGTGTATTAGATTCAAAACAAATGATTTTTGAACAAATAATCAAAATGTTAGAATCAATTGAAAATGGAATTGCAAGGTAAATTCAAATTTATACAAAAACAAAAAAAATATTAATTAATTTTTAATTTTTCTTTTTAAACAATTTTAATTAAAAAAAAAAACAAAAGGAATTCAACAATTATTGTGATGTCAATAATGAGATTTTTGGTAAACCTAGCACGAAAAAATGATAAAAAATTAATAACCATTCCAAAAATTATTAATTATACTAGTAGTTTATTAGCAAATAATTCAATAAGAAAATGTAGTATATTAGCATTAAAAGGATTAGCATTTGAATTATTTTTCAATGAGATGCCAAATCGTTCAAATAGTAAATTAAATAAAATTGCATCTGTTATAGCATCGACACCAACATCAATCTCATTAAAAAGCAGTGACAGTAATGCAAGTTTAGACAGTTATAATAAAAGTTTTTTAAAGAACAATAGTAGTTTCAACTTTTTATCAAACGATAAAGAATCAAATATTCAAAAAGAGGTAGTCCTTAATATGCTAGAAAAATTTATTGATTATTCAGAATGTGCAAAAATTATGGTAATATTATTACTTTGGCGTAATGTTTGGTTTGAATCGAATACACCAAATGAAAATGATGAAAAACAAGAAAAATTTCAACAGGAGCATTCTTTTGAAGATTCTGAAAAAAAAGTGAATATAATTAATTCCGATGGTAAAATACTTCAAGATAATAAAATTTCCATGGATGTAACTATGTTAGATAGGTCTAGTAAAATAATGAAAACATCACAAATTAACAATCCATCATCTCCTATGGCATTTGCTACGTCATTACAAAATGGTGGAATATTTACAATTGTTTCAAAGGAAATATGCGATGGAAAAATTAAAGTAAACAATTGGAATGATTTTTATATACTCGATTCGATATTTAAAAATAGTGATAAAAATTTTCTACTAGATAGTAAAATATATTCATCTTTACTAGGATTTTTTATAAAGAAGGTAAAATGAAATTTGCAATTTAATTAAATTCTTTTACATAAATGTAAGTTAATACATTTGTACATACTACATATACTCTTTGGAATTTAAAATTTTTGAAACCAATTAATTTTTTTTAAAAATGTTATACTCGTAATACCAATTTGTAGCACAAGTCAGTCTACTATTAAAGTATTTTCTAGCTTCAAATTTACACTTATGTTTGTTATAACAATAGATTATCTTTGTTACTTGGAACAGTGTGATACTCTTAGAACACTATTTAATATTTTGGGAAGGTTCCCTATCAATCTGGTAGTAGTAGGAATTCCAGCCCACAGTAAAATTCTGCTGTGGTCACGTGTTTAGATAGTTGTTTAACACGTTTAATTTTGAAGATTAGCTGAGGATTTGAAAAAAAAATTGTTCTATTGTTAAATAAGCGTTCCTGCTTTACTGGTAAAAGTTTTGAATACAACAAAAATAGAATTTAATTATAAGGAAATATTTTTATTTATGTAGAGTAAAATATTTATGTTCAGCATAACTCAATTTAATAATATTTACAAAAAATATTTAATATTTGTAAAAAATATTTTATTAATCAAAATTTATCATTCTTATTTAATACGTGAACTCCACCTCCCAAATAATAGAACATTTGCTACATTATGTATTCTTGAAATATATTCTTATTGCTCTATATTCTTCAAGCTTGTACATAAACTTGTGCTTTTTCATAATGTATTCATAATTATTACCAATTTATCTTATATTTTTATAGGACTATGTATGTAGATTTATATTTTTATAATACAATGTCATAATAAATTCAATTGTTCTACATTTTTTTTGTGAACCATTAATTTATTTTTCTATTCGTTTTGCCTAAAGAATCGAAATAACCGAAAAAAAGGACAATTTTTTATCAAAAGAGTTGTGAGACAGATTAAATTTTCTTCTTATTGTCTTTTAGTTGTTTTTTTTCTGACGGAAAATTTTATAAAGAAAAGAAAAACGGATTTAACGAAATTATGTTGTATTATATAATGGTTTTTTCTTGTTTTCTTGTTTTATTCTTCTGTTTTCTTTGTATCATGGAAATGATAAAATAATAGGGCTATTATAGTCTAGTGATATAAGAAGAATATAATATGAAAGTGAAAGAAAAAACCAGAAAGAATATAAAATAGGTTGGATATAAGGATTTAATAAACAATGGTATATTATCCTAGATAAGAAAAATTTCATCTTTTTTTATTTTAAATATTTAAAGGACACTAATATTAATTGAATATCATTGTTATATAATAGAAAATAATTTGCAAAAAAATTGGAAAAAACATGTTTTTTTTTTTATATCACATTTTGCTGATAAAACTTTTATAATAAAATCAAGGAGAAAAAATTGGAAAATTCGGAAAATATAATCTCAACAAGGTCTTTTAATACAATAACAAGTACGCTGTGAACAACATATGATCAATAATTTTCTTTTCTGATATTTACGAATTTCATTGTAATTATTCATATTAATGCATATGGAAGGGATTGCAAAATATGAAGAAATAAGCAATTTCTGTGAAAAAATGGTTTGGTAGTGGTGCCTGAAAATATGCTATTATAAAATGTGAAATTAGTTTCAAGTAGAGGTTTAGTTATTAGATTTGGACTTTAAAAGTTTTATATTCTGTTTTAGAAGTAAAAATTTTTCATTCTTTTACATGAAATCTGTTATGAAAACAGTACCTTCCTTATCGTATAATTGGAATACGGTCGATCAAAAAAAAAAAAAACGTGATTGTGAGGGAGTAAGAAAAAGAATTTTTTTTTATATTTATTGCTTCGTTTTAAATAATAAAATTAATATGAGAAAAATTTGATGAATTTTCAAAAATTTACAATGAAAACTAATCAATTTTTTCTTTAACTTTTTTCCGTGATAATTAATGTTATTAGCATTTCCAAAATGAATTAAGAGAAAATATTTCTCGCTTTAAACAGTTTGTCACTTTTGATAATTTTATTGTTCACATGTATAATGGCTTCAGAAAATTATAGTAGACTCATAGATAACTTGCTGCTGTGCTTCAATATTTAATGATTAATAACTAAAAACTGTTATATGCAAAATTATTTGAAATCTATTTAAATATTACTGATATTCAATATTTAATTTGTTGCATACGTTTAGAAATAATGAGATTTGTGCGAATGGCCTTAAAAATTTCACAGAATTTAAAAACATATGCTTTTTCAAGGAAATTTACCGTAATTTCACAAAAAAAAAACCTACATACTTTAAAGTTTTTAAAGCTATATAAATCTTGTTTAATTATGACGCAGTTTGCATTGAGATTCCTAAAGAATAACGCATTGCAATTCAGCATATAATGCATTTTGCAATATCCCTCAAAAAGTATAGCTTAAATTTTGTTCTTCACACCTTTGCTTACTGCAATTAATTTTTTTAAATTTTTCTACAATTGAAGAAAGTTTAGAAAAAGTTATAAAATACAATAATTGTCTACAAATTTTTTTCTTAAACTAAATAAAATTTTTTTTACAAACTTAATTAACAATTTTGCATTTTTATAAATACGAAAAAAAAGTTTACAGAGAAGAAGGCTACATTTTATTTTCTTTTCGCAAAGTTTGTCTTTATTTATTTATTTTATCGTATTTTTCCATTTAATGTTTGTCTAAATAATTACCAATTCTAATTTAGTCTTAAAAACTTATTTTAATTCTAATTAATGAAAAACTTTTGTGTCTTATTCTAAATTTTGTTTTTTCTTATATTTTTAATTTATATAATATTGAAATTGAAGTTTTTATTTAATTTGTCATTCTAAATTTTTTTTATATATTTGTTCATTTCTATTTATGTTTTTATTTTTCTCATTTTTAATTAGACTATTACAAATTTCAACGATTTGTCTTTAGCCACTATAATCCTTGATAATGTTATTCTAAAGGCAGAAGAAATTTATTTAGTAAATCACATAAAACTTTATTTAAAAAATCAAAATAAAGTTGAAAAATGTCAAAAAAAAACTGATATAAAAGAAGAATTAGAATATCAACAAAATCATTATCAAGAAAAACAATATTTAAAGGAGGAAGAAAAACAAGAAAATTTAAATTTAAATCAGAATCAGAAAGATGTCTTTTTAAATACAACCACAAATGAAATAAACTATTTTGCTAATATATTATATGAGAAGTTAGATCAGTGTATTTTAACATTAATGAAATCCTATTCAGAGAATCAACAACAACAACAACAGCAACAACATCAACAAAATTTGTTATTTGGAATATTAGGATCATCATCATTTGTAAACTCTGTAAATTCTTTAGATTCTAATAGTAGTTTAAATAATGGTGGTATGAGTAACTGTTCTAATGATAACTATTATTATGAAAATAATATATATCAACAAATATATCAAGAATTTAACGGACCAGAATCGTATAACAAATTTTCTAAACTTGTGGTAAAATTCATTAAATCTATTTATAAGGATTCTATATTAAAAAAGGATTCATTAAATACAACATTACATTTTCAACTTGAACAAAATGAATTTTGGCTAAAATATAATTTAAATAATTCATGCTATGAACAAATAAAAGTTGAAATATTTCGTATGTTTTACATAATGGTCAATGAATTCAATTTTATTACAAATATTAAAATCAACACTGATGATGATAATGATAATCCTGATTATAATAGTGATGGTGATAATAACATAACACATCAGAATAATTTAAATAGAATTTTATTACTTAAAAAACTTAAAAATATCAATCATAGACATGCAAAAAGGATACTTATTAAAGAAATTATCATGAAATTTGTAAGTATATTAAAAAAAGAAAAATAGAATAAAAATGAGAAGAATTTTTTTTTATTTTATTTTTATAATATAAATTATAGTACTTAATAAGTTTTATTTTGTGAAGGATAATAATGTTAAATGTTGAATTATGTAAAATATTTTTTTTGTATGTCTTTGATATACTTTTTGTGAATTATTTATGAAGGATGTAAAAAATAAAATATTTCAGTCAAATGTTGAAAATTATTTAAACATTTCATATATAATTTAAAAAATTTCTGTGTAAATTTATTTTTTTTAGAATCATGAGTTCTAATAAAATTTTATAAGCACAATATTCATAAATTATGAAAAAAAGAAGTTAGTTAAGTCCTCATTCAACAGTTTGCAGGACTATAATATTTTTACTGATTGAAAATGTAAATATTCTTTAAAATATTTTTTATGATTTATTAATATTAAGTAAAAGAACAAAAATATAAGACTCTAAACTTTAGAATAAGAGTACCAACTTTTATTATTTTTTATTTGTTTGACTATTAAGAAAGTAACTATTAAATTAAGTAAATTTGAATTAAATTATATTGTTAATTATAAATATCTGTTATGGTTTTACAAGGTTATAGCTGTTATAACAATCGATCAGTTATAGTTATATTCTTAATTAAATTGGAATTATTAAATTAAATTTTCAAATAAATATTATTCTTTTATAAATGTAGTTCTTTAAAAATTAATTTAAATTGCTGGTTCACTTTAAATGTGCATAAATTTGTTATAATACAAACTTTATTTTAATTTAATCTTAATCGATTGCATTTATTTTTCCTATTTATTTTTACAATTTAAATTATTTATAAAAGTTTTTATAAAATATGTTGAAATTTTTTAATTAACATCAATATTTTTAAGGGGATTTTTAATAAATTTATCTTATGCGAAGGTGCTTATTAACTTTAAAAATTTGCTTTAGGTTTCAAGTTTTTCAATTATCAACTTAAAATTTATTTTATGAATTAAAAACAAAAAGAATTTGAGAAAATAATTTTTTGAATCACAATATTTTTATGATTTTTATTTCTGTACGTAAATTTCATTTACTATACTTGAACATTAAGAGATATTAAAAAAAAAGAATTTATTAAAATTCATTTTTATTTTTTAAGCAATTTCAAAATTTCTGTGCTTTTTTTCTTTTAAATACTGGAATTTAAATAATAGATGCACTTATACATAAAATATTTTTATTGATCAATTTTTGTTTATCGAAATTTAAATTTTTTTCTAAAGTTAAAAATGCTTGTTTAATAAAAAAGGATTTTTTCTTTTTAAATATTTAAATAACAATATATATATACATATGTATGTATACGAGTATGTATGTACATATTGAATATATTTTTATTATTTATTTTTTAATTTATTTTCTTTTATTTCTTTTGTCTATGAAAATAAATAGCCTCATCCGAATTTATGGAGTCTTCCAGAAATTGAAATACTATTAAAAGATTTTATGATTATTTTACTTACTGATGCACAACATTTTATATATAATTTATGTGAAATATCAAAGCTCAGGACCATATTTGTTGAATACTTGATAGAATATTGTAATAATGCTTCAAAGGTAAATAATATAATACTAAGGATATTAAATAATTATATAAATACATACATATAAAATAATAGTAAAATTATTTAAATATATATTATGCATTGTGTGTTATTTATAAAGTGTATAAATAAAGGTTTTCGTATGAGATCTAATTCTTTAGCATTATGGTAATTAAATATTTAGAATTTTAAAGTATAGAGGTTTTTTTTGAATATTTTAGTTTTGTTGCTTTACAAGTGCAAGCAAATAAAGTAAAGTTTAATTTGACATCATTAAATAAAGATGGTAATGCAGCTAAAAGCTTCTTATATTATATTTCATTATATTTTGAAATTTTTTCGAAATTTTATTATTTATATATTTACACTAACGTTTATGAAATTTATCATTTGAATCAATTCTAAAAATTTCATGGGCATTTCGAATTTTAAATTGCCTTTCATTTGATATAAATGAAAAATAATTCATAAGAAAAAATGGATATAAAGTGGGCTGGAACTGTTTTGTAGTGAAACTTTTTCTTTTTTTATAGTAAAGTTTCTCTATAGAAAATTGTAAATAAGTATTGAAAAATTGAAAGAAAAAACTAATGTTTTTCGATATTCTCTTTTACATTTAAAAAAAAAAACTTTAATTTTTAAATTGCTTCTTAAATTACATTGTTGCGCTGCACATTTTTGTCTTCTTTGTTTCTCTTGCCAAGATAGTATTTTAAAATGGGTTCAACAAAAAAATGTGTACAGAAAATATAAATAAATTTATTATAACTATTCTATATTATACTTAAGAAAAAGAGATAAAGAGAGAAAAATTCTTAGAAAAAGGACTATTTAAATCATTATTATTGTTCTGCCCTTTTCCTTTTTTTTTTCTCCTGCAATTTTATTTATTATTTTATATTTTCTTTATTCTTTTTGATATAATTTTGTATTTATAAATATATGTATATACTAATTTTGATTTCTTTTATTATTATTCAGGATGAACTTTTTATTATACTTAATTTTATGAATAATGCTTCAAAAATAGCGGAATTAGCATCAGCAACAGTAACAGCAACAGCAACAACAACATCGGAAGCATCAACAACAATGAAAATATCAACAGAAGCAACAACTGCAAAGAAAATTTATCAAAATAATTGTCTTCCAATTGAAATAAAATTAGAAATAATGTTGAAAATTCGCACAAAAGTACAATATAATAGGGTACTACAAAAGTTAATTGAACAAATAATGCAAAATGAAATAGAAACTCATGGATGGGACAGCATTCAAATGATTCTATCAAAGAAAAATATTCATTTGGATTCAATACTTACTGGGTAGATTCAATGTTTTTCTTTATTTTTTTTTTTTTTGTTATATATTTTAATAATATTAAATTTATTTTTCATTTCTCTTTTAAAGAAAAAAAAAAATATATTTTTTTCCCTATTACTTTTAAGGATAAAAATAATAATATTTTAATTACTTTCTTTTACAGTAATAAGATGATTCATAAGGATACAAAGGATAATTTAAGTGAACTTGATTCAAGTACAATTGATGAAAATTGGCTAATTAGTCAGGTATACATTTGCATAGTATATTTTAAATAATAATTTCATTTCAATTTTTTTTTTTAAATTTTTCCCTGAAAGGCTATTTTTTACGATTAAGTTTAGTTGTAAGAAAAAAGTTGAATTAATTCTTAATAAATTGAGATTTCGTTTTTAAAAATTTTGATTTGCAATTTATAAAGATGATCTTATATTTTCAAGAATCTATTGTCTACTTAGGATTTTAGGTACATAGTATATGAAATTTTCAAATAAAATGTTTGATCAATGTAAATTGATTAAAAATTTTTGGTATTTGCAAATGATTTGAGTACCGCATTTAATTTAACTTGTGATAATTGCAGAAGAAAATTTTGATCAAAAAATAAGCGAATTGTAAATTTCGCTACATGCTAATATCAAAATAACATACTTGCAAAATGCACACCTATATTTTCTTGATTCCGTGTAACCATTTAATATAAAAGGTTTTATTTTTCAAAAAAACTTAGTTGTAATTTTAAAATATCATTATTGAAATTTGAATTCTCATTAGCAAATTCTAATTTTAAAACTATTTTTTTTTTTTTTTTCAATTATAAAACCTAAAAACATTTATTTATTGAATACGAGTGTATGAAATATGTAAATAAATCTTTATGTAATTATGTGGTTCACCTAATTTGGCAATGTTAGCACAATATTCCTTAAAATAATATAAGTATATAATATACATACATATATATCATATGCATACATACATAAATCATAATTCATAATCAATAATTAATTAAATTATGGATTACAATAAAATTAAATTAATTATTCAATTATTTTCCAATTAATTAAATAGAAAATTTTAATGAATTTACTTATATAGTAAATGTTTTGTTTTTTTTTTTCTATATCTTTTATTGATTTTTAATTTATTTTCAGATAATAAAATATTCATCAATAACAAATCCTGAACAATTTGTAAATATACTGTATGATATTAAATCTGAGACAAAATTGAAACAAATTTTATATTCTGAAAATTTTAATATAAAATTAATATTAAAGTCAGCATTAAAAATATCCTTAGAAATAATGTTAAAACAATTTCAAAACGATTGTATACAATATAATCCTCATATAAATTACATGAATTTAAATCCATTGGCAAGAGTAAGTTTGCATATATTAAAGGAATCTTTAGATAATTTAAAACAATTAATTGTTGAATGTAAGCAACAAGAAAAAGAAAAACAATGCCAAATGCAATCGAATGCAGAAAATTTAAATAATGAATTTTGGTATTTATCAACATGTGTTATAGCTCTATTGGAAAATATTAAACGAATTTATAATATCGGTTTAATGTATGTTGATGCGCGATTATTACAGAAATTTATTAAAGATCAAATTTTAAAATCAGAAACTTTAGTTGATTCTTTAATAACATTTTTATTACATTTAAGTAATTATGTTAAGGATTCATTACAATTAAAAAATGTAAAAAATATTAAAAAATTTTTATCATACAATTGTACTAAACAAAATAATAACATAGAAGAACGTTGCAAAGAACATGACAATTCTAAAAAAACGAATACTAGCGATAATAAATCGAATTCTGAAACTTTAATAAATAGTGATAGTAATTGTGATAACCATTCTACGTCTGGTGATATTGAAAACAATGATAATGATATTAATTTTTCAAAAGATAATATTACAATGCCTTGTATTAATAATAAAAATAATGTTTCAATAACAAGCTTTAACATTTGTGGTAATAACAACTACAATATCAATAAATATGATTGCTGTGGCTGTACCAACAATGATATTACTTACAATGATAATAAGAAATCAATAGAAATTTTTACATATTGCAAATGTATTGATTTATTATTAAAAGAAAATCTCATTTGGTTTGAAATGAATGAATCTGATGACAATATATGCGGTAATAATACTAAAGGAAAATATGAGCATCATTTAAATACAATTTTAGAATTTATTCATATTGGTTTAATTAGATCAATTGGTAATACATTCTTTTATAGAAAATATAAATTACAAAAGAAAAATTCATCAGAGAATAACATAGAAATGGAAAATAATTTAAAATACAATGCATCATCATCATCATCATGTTTAGAAAATGATATAAAAATTTTACAAAATAAATTAGAATTATATGAAGAAATTGATGATGATAATGTTACTAGCGACAAATTAATGGAAAATTTTAATCTAAAGAAAAATGATATTGAATTGAATGATACAATAGATGACGGTGATAATAAAAATGAAATATTTTATAAGGAGAATACAGAAATCAATGAAAAATCCAACTATAACTCTTACAATAAAAAGAAAATTATTGAAAAAGCAATCTTTATCGCTAATGTAATTGAAACAGATTGTAATATAAATTTGGAAAATTCATCATATACTTCATTATTGGTATGTTCTTAAAATATTTTTTCTGAATTTTAATTTTAAATGGAAACGATATTATTTTTTGTTTTCTCGTTTGACTTCTTATTATTAAATTTAAAATATCGACTTTAAAATATAAATTTATTGTTTGTGTAGATATTTGTATTTTAAAACTTTAATCTGGTTCCTAAAAACCAAAATGTAACAAAATATTTTTTGTAGGCTCTTACTAATGATACTTCCTTAATTATCATTTTAAATTTTCATTTAAAATTGCTTTATAGGTAATTAAGGAAAAAATGGGAAAACTATGAATTGTTTATGATTTTTTGGTACCAATCCTGATATAGGCTCAAATTTCTTTTGAGTTATTCAGTAAGGATTCAATATTTGAATTATAATTTAGAAGTAAATTTGAATTTGCTTCAAAATATTTTATGCGACATAATTTAATTAACAACTTCTGACTTTAAAAATTTTCCTTTTTACTTAACAAGAACTCTTGCTAGATAACTTAAATATATTATGTCTTTGGTCATCGGTTACTCAAAGATCTTTCCCGATTTCATTTCAAAAACCAATTGTTTGCTAATTTTATTCGTATTAAAAATTTCAAGTTGCGGAAATTTTTATTCAATTTAGAATTGTGTCGTCGGGGAATTGAAATTAAGATTTTGCCCTTAGCCTTTTAATTTGTTTCTATAAGTACGTTTCTCTTTCATTTCTTAATTTTAAGAATTGTCATTTTGCATTTTCCCTGCAATATATATTAAGTTTTCAATTAATCCAATGTGATTAAAATTGCTTTTTTTTCCAGATAACTTAAATATAAATGTACTTACGCCCTCAAATGTAATATTATAAAGCAAAGCTAAAAAAAAGAATGTTTGAAAGTTTAATTTGATTTCAGTTTTTTATTTACCACGAGAAATATAATTAATATAAATATTTGTTGATGTATGTATACCTGGTCTATATATACATGTATATATATATACACCAAATTTATTTTTTTACCGAATTTTATTGATCACTTCACACTCACGTTTTTTATTTTTATTTCCAATTAAACTATATGAATTAAAAATAAAGAAATAAGATGGTCGTCTATGTTAGTACCAAAGCAACATTTTACTATTTTTTTTTTTTAATTAATATTAAATTTTCTTTTTATTTAAGTTTTTTATTTTGACCACTTTATATTTACAAAAACAGAAAAAAAATTTTTTTAATTTCATTTTTTTAATTTTCATTTTTTTTTTTTGTTATTCTTTTCTGACTTTGAAAAAATATTATAGGATATTTTAAAGTCAATTGGAATTTCATTACTTCGAATGAACAACTTTTACGCTTATGCTGTTACACCTTTTGAAATTATAGAGGAGCATCATGGTGATTACTATGATGAAATGAATGATCAATGCTATCAGAAACGTCAAGGTAACCGTAAACAGAGTGGAAAATTGCCATCGATACCAGTTGAAGAGCTTAGTGATGTTGATATTTTACGAAAATTCGTTAAAAGGTAAACAAAAAACAGAGACAAAAACAAGTATAGACTGCGAAATATTTTTGTAAGTAAAAAAACATTATATAGGCACATAGGAAAAGTAGTCGATGAAAATATATATAAAAATCTGAAATAACATTTTAGTGTTAATTTGAAAAAAAAAAGGACACTAAGGATTATATAAACAGTAAATAATATGTATATAGGAAATTAAATGAAAAATTCTACTCATATAGTATTTATATGTACATTTATAATGTGTATAAATGTATGTATATGTTTGTTAATCAAAATTTATAAATGTTTGTTTTTAAAAGGTGTCTTTTAACTTTAATGAAAATGGCTCTAATTAAATTTTATCATTTCTTTAGATTGAACTAATCAATTCAATATTTATTTTTAATTTAGTCGGCTTTAAGTTTTTAGTAAATACAAAGAAAATAAGATTTAAATTACATAAATAAAATTGAGTTATTTGAAAATTATTGTAATTATTGATAGCTCAATATTATATTATGGGGTCTAGGTATTTCGTAAAAGTTTTATATAACGAAAATAATACTGAAGCGGAGCTATTTAATATCTGAAATTTAATCTGTACATATGTACAGTCAGTGCAATATTTTGATTTTAAAATTATGACAAAACTTACTTTTTGATTTTCTAATTATTTTTGAATTTGCATTTGATCTGCCCAAATATTTTCTCCTGTTAATACTCAAGTTTTCAAGCATTACAGATGTGCAGATTTTTCTGTTGCTTATTATAATATCATCATTTAATTTATGATTTTATGATATGGTTATGTTGTTAATTTAGTTTTCTCTTCTATCTAGTCTCTATAATTCTCGATTTTTGGCGCTTTCCAGGTCTAACTATTTAAAAAAAATTAAATAATTATTATTCAATTTTTATATGATTCTGATTCTATATTAGTTTCATGATTAGGATGGAATCGATTTAAAATTAAAATTTTTATATTGTCTGAGAAATCATCACGATTTACGATTTTAAATATGTTGTTAGGGTGTGGAAGAATATGGAAATAAGAAAAAATATACAAATGGAATTTTTTTTCCATAAAAATTTTTATTTAACAAACCTTATGGTTAAGCTTTCTATAATTTTCCTTTGTTTAAAAAATGCATTGATTGTTGGTTTTATTCACCTTTATATTATTCAGCAGATTATTTATTTTGTGATGCTGTTGTCATCAAAACTGAAAAAGCTTTCATCTTGTATTTTTTGTATAGAAATAGTATTTTCCTTTTAGTCTTAGTATGTTTCTGAAAAAATACCTAATAAATTTTTAAAATGACAAATAAACAATCTAGGTTAATCAATTATTATATAATGGAGAAATTGTATTACAGTTTTTTTTTAAATATAAAAGAATTATATGAAATTTTAACCAACATTTCTACAAAAAAAAAGGGGTCATTTCTACAAAAAAAATTGTAGTCTTAAGCTAACTTGAGAATTTTCAATAAATTAAACTGTTATATAATTTGTTTTGTCACTATTGCAACTTCACATCTTTAATTTTTATATACATACTATAAAAAGGGTATAAATGCAAATTTTTTTGAGCTTATTTGAGTAATTTTCACTTCCTTTTTTTCTCTTTTAGAATTCTGTGAATTTTGGTATGAATTCTATTCTTACATTTTTATTTAATTGCATACACCAATTAAATTCCTAATGAAATTCAAAATTTTTTAGCAAATTTTTAAATCATAATTTAAAAAATGAATAAAATGCATTTAATTTTATGGTTCATTGGCCATAAATCTTAAAACAATCTCTTTAATGTTTATTTTTTTACCGATTTAATTTTAAAATATTCAATTCTATTTAATTATATGTAAAAAATCTTTTATTTCCTCGAAAATATTTGTTCTCATTTTGAATTATAATAGAATTATATTAAAATTTTTTTAAAATAAAAAATGTCTTGTTTAAGAGAAAATATTCTATTTAATTCTTTATATATAGTTTGATAATTGTTATACACGATTAAGAAGCTATTATGATGGCATCACGTTGTTTAATAGCATTTTATATTTTTTTTTCATTTTTTGTTTTATAAAAACATATTTAGTTTAGTATATCATAAAATGATTGTATAAAATGTACACATATAAATGTACACATCATATTTAGAAAGGATAATGATTATAGTTACATTGACGTTAATAACATTATTATAATTGTTTGTGTAAATAATTTTAAGAGTTTCCTTTTTCCGTTGTGTAATAAAAATGAGGAAAACGTTTTTTATAAACCACCTTTTTTTTTCTATAATATTTTAATAGTGTTTTGTTTTAGATATAAAACTGACTGTTAAATTCATAAGCAAAAAAAAAAAAACTAAGGATAATTAGTTTCAACTAAATTTATGTAGGACATCATGTCTTTGTTATCTGATTAAATGTATATTTTACTTTGTATATAATTCATGGTAATAAAAAGAGATATAATAATAATAAAAAAGAAAAAGAATAAATAAAATGAAGAAACTTAAATAAAATGAAGGGTATTGAAGTTTTTATGCTAAATATTGTAGAGATTTAAAAACATTGTTGTTAAATAACTTGATTAATATGTGATAGAAACTTTATAATTTATTTATAATTCAAAAGTTTTATAATTTATATAATATGTGTATGGTAATAATAAAATTATTATCATAAAAAATTGAATCCTTTAAAATATTGTAATTATGTGAAAAAAGAACATATTAGTATAGTCAACCCTTTTATATTCAAAATTATAATTTTGTAAAATGAAAGAATAAAAAGTTACGCATACGGAAGAGAATACTTTTTTTCAGGCTTTATGAAAAAATTATAAAAATAATGAAAAATCAAAGGTTCTATTTAAAATTATTTAAGGGACGCTATGATATTTTTTAAATAAACAATACAATAATATAATATTGTATAAAATAATTACAATATCATATTGTAATAATATTATAAAAATTTGTATAAACATTATAATATTCCAGAAATAAATACATTCTTTTAATGAATTCACTTTTATACAATATAAAATAAATTTTTGAAGAAGCTAAAAATTTTTGATTTTTAATATTTATCTTGTATACGTGCATTCTAAAAACAATTACAGTTAAATCAAAATAGTTTGCAAAGTACCACTTTTCGCTGCAACAAGTAAAAATACTTTTCTCATTCAAAGATAAAGATATCTGAGATTTTGATAATAGAAATAATTTGAGTATACACAGTTGAATAGCAATTACATAATTTATAGAAATGCATTAAACTTTTTGAATTTTCTAATAGTAGTTCTCTATATGTACTAGTTTTTATATATTATAGTTAATAACAACATGAGAAAATACGAAATCTACTCCCGAATATTTAGACTACTCCATTGTTAATAATTAATTTATTGATTTAAAAAAGATTTTCAACTTAAAATAATTATGATTTTATTGCTATATTTAAATTAAATATGCAACAAATTATTATGTTTGTAATTTATAATTTCTACATGAATTCAAATTTATTGCTATAGTATATAGTCGAAAATCAATTCAAAAGTTCAAATTGGGCAAACCATTAGAAATTTCAAGGAAGCTCTTTATATAAAAAAAAATTTATATACTATTTACATTATAATTTTGCTAAGCAATAAAATTAAAAATTTTTGTTATACATTCTTTTTTCTTACTAATTTTGTTACTTTGCAATTCATTATTGCATTTCAGTTTAAAATATTCTATTGCAAATTCTTTATTTATTACTTTAATATATTTATACATTATATACATACATATACATTTATAATGTTACAACAAAATATAAAAATAATTTTTTTTTTCTTTTGAAATTTATTTTATTTTATATACAGGCTTTCGATTTTTGGATTTACATCACGTCAACAATTTGAAGAATATTTCATGACATTTCTGTTACTTATAAATACTGATTATAATGATAGTATGGTCGATATTCAAGAACAATTTCAAATTCGAAATATTTGTCTCAAAGCAATTCTCGAACTTTTAATTACATATAAAACTTTTCCAATTGTGGGAAATAAACTTTCATCATTCCATCATACAACAAGATGGTCTAAAATAAAATGTGATAACATCAGGTAAGTAATGAATATATAAATAATATATATATATATAGAGTGGGAAAGAGAAAGCAAAATGTAAGTTATTTGTTTTTTACAATATATTGTGTACTTACATACAATTTAGTTTGTATATTCAGACATTATACATACACATCTCAATATAATATGTATGTACCTAAGTTGAACTTACATAAAATTATTTTCTTTTTCGAAATAAAAAAGAAATTGTATTAGAAAAAAACAAAAACAACAAATGAAAAAGTTTTTACATTTTAAACTTTATGATTTTTCACTTATTTTTTTCATTTCATTTTTATTTTTGTGGTTTTTCTTTCTCCGTAACTTCAAAGCTAAAAATAATTATGTAAGGCTTTTGTTGTTACAATGAATGTTGAATTTGTTTTTGTTTTTTTTTTTTACTAATTTATGGAGTAAGGACGAATAAAATTCATCTTTTGTTTTTGAAAGAACTTGACCTCTGGGGCTCTGGATATGATAAATATCCTAAAATGTTGGGGATTTTTTTGAAAATTTGTTGAGTTACAATTGAGAAATTTTTTTCTATATTTTTGCTATGAATATATAAAATCAGAATTTTTCAGTTGTAAGATGAATTCTAAGAAAATTCATAATAATTCTTTTGAAAGAAATTGAGAATGAGGTTAGACATTAAACCGGAATATATATATATATATACGTATACCTTGAAGACAAAAACGAAATAATCAATACTGTAAAGTTTTATTTTAAATATTTAATGTTAATAAGTTAAATTTTAAGTTTTATTTTATTTTCAATTAATTTTAGTTTTTATTTCACATATGTACTCGTATACACTTCATTAATTTTTTTATAAAATTTTATTTTCAGTACTAAAAAATTATATAAAGTTCAATTACTTGTTCCTGGCTCTAATGTTTTCTATATACCAAATTTGGAACGTAATTTATCATCAATGTTAAGTGAAAATGGAAATGATGGAATGTATAATATTAAAAATTCTTCAATTGGAACGGATTTATTTCAAGCAAATCAATATGATTTGAATTTTGTTTGGCAACTAATGGAAAATTCAAATATGGAACCTGATATTAAAAATAATGTTCATATAAAAAATTTTCAATATTTTAGGCAACAATCAGAAATTGATTTTAAAAGTAGTTCACAATTAACTTTTGATATAATAACACAATTAATAGAGGTAATTAAATTATAATTTTTTTTTTTTTTTTTGGAAAATTTTTGAAAGAATTAAATGAGTATGTTTTGTAGGAAATTAAGAAAAATACTTTGTTTTTAAAAATTGTTAAATTTGTTTTAAGATTTTAAAATTAATTTGTAACAGGAATTCATTTAATTTTTAAATAATTTTATTTATAATTAATTTTGATGAGAATTTAAATTAATATTGTTCTTTGATAATGTTGTTAATTTAAAACTTAAGTAATATAATATTAGTTATTGAAATTTTTTTTGAAAAAAATAATTCTTGTTAATTTTATTTATCAGATTACCTCATTTATTTCATTTTTTATTCATTTAAAATTTTTATTCATTTAAACTGTTAAGATTCTATTATATACTTGTAGGTATGTTAATACTGTAATTGCATTTTTTGTAAGAATTTAAATTTAAAACTTAATTTTGAAATAATTTCATTAAGCACACATATTTTCTCAAAGTTAAACATTACATTCAAAATACTCTTTTTTAAATCTTGCATGCTTTTATTCAATAATGTAAAAATCTAGTTTGCAAATGGATACAATGTGTATTAAAAAAAAAATATTATATTTAATTAAGACAAGTTTTTTAAGATGATTTATGATGAATTCTGTATTTTTCTCATATTATGGTTATTTACTGAACATATTAAGAAACACAAAAAAAAAAAAAACTACACTCACATATGAAAAATGACTTTTCATTTCTCATTTTTTTTTTGTTTCCAAAGTGATATTTAACAACGAAAATAAAATTATACATAAGTATTACATATAAAATATTCTTATGTAACTAAAATTGTAACAAATTTTTGGAACATCATTTATCATCATTTTTATAAGTTCATGTTAGATAAGGTGAAATTTAACTAATTGACTTACATATTTGAGAAAACGTTTTATCATTTTATAAATGAACATACAATCATGTATATTATATTCATAAATATTTACATATATATATTTCAATTTAATATTACATTTTTAAGAATAATTCAGAGTCATGTTAAATAAAAGAATGAAGTTCCAATAAATTAAATTTAAATTTTGACGAAATTACTTGAAAAATATCACCACAATATTATTATGTTTTTAAATTGTAAAATGATTAAAATAATACATGATTAAATTATTTTTAAGTTGAAAACAATAATGCAATTAAATTGAATTAAAATAAAATAGAAAAGAATAATAGAAATTGTTGATTTTGTTAGAAATTTAGCTTAAAAAATAATTAAATTTTTATTTTTAAAATTACACTACAATATCTTTAATTTATTAACTTGTATTTTTTTGTTAATTACAGAATAATTATGTATTAGCGTTACCGAATTTAGTGAAATTTTGTGAAATATGTGAAAATCGAGATCAAGTTAAATGGATTAAACAAAAAGTATTAAAATTACAAGAAACAATTTCTATTGATGACACAATTTCACATCAAGTTAGTATAATTCTTTGTCACAGTAGATTTAATATAAATGATATTTTTAAAATTAATTTTTATTTTTGTAATATAAAAAAATATATTTTAAATATAAATACACATATCCGTCTATCAAAGTCAAATCGAAAATTTTCATATGAGATTTTCATATGATTCATCATACATTATTCTTTTATATAAGAAAATGCAGTACAAAAGAATAAACTGAATGAAGCAAACTATTTTCGTTCTATTATTAAAATAATTTTGTTAATAGGTATGTATCTTGATCGACTCCGAGTAGTTAGTCTAATAAAATAATAGAAGCTGACCTAACACAAAGAAAATTTTATTAGTAAACTTGCATCAAAAATTATTTAAGAAAACTAATTGAATACTGAAATATTAAAATTTAATTTTAAAATTATGCATATTATATTTTTGGTTTTTAAAAATTGAAATAATGAAAGCTATCATGAGAACCTAAACATATTTATAATAAATTAAAGTAATTTCAACTGTATCAGTTGATTATTTTGTTTAAAATTTTTTGTCTAATTCCATGGAATTTAAATGTCTAAGAGGAGTTTCCAATGAATTATTTCAATAAATTTTTTAAAATATAAATATAAAAGTTTTCATTTTGTTCAAAAAATTTTTGGTGATCTGCAAATTGCTTTATTAGAATTTGTATATAAATCTTTTCTCATTCTATGCCAAAGAAATTTATAACACTTTTTACGAAATTTATTCTTTATCCTTTCTAAATAAAAAATATGTATACAAAACTTTTATATTAGTCATATTTAATATTAAATTTATTTTTAATACTTATGTAAGATGAGGAAAGCAGAAAAGAAAGTAAAACACGATAATGAACACAATTTGCTTAAATAATTTTTTTTTTAAATTTAATTTTTAAAATTCATGCAATTATTTTTCTTTCTGGCCTATTGAATTAAATTTCAAATACCTTAAATATCCTTCCATTATCATCCTTGTTCCATTTTTTATTTTCTGTTACAGTTTTCGTTTTTGTTTTATTCCATACTCGTATATGTAACTATATTTTATATATTTTAAAATGAAAATTCATTTAGGAATTTTATATAAGCAGAACTGCCAAGTTACAAAACCACATAATTTCAAATGAAAGAAAATATTGTAGATACTTCAATATTAAACCTTATATGTACATATATATGTACATTTGTGTATATTTTCATTGCCCATGTTATAAATGTATTTATTTCAGATTTGTCTGCTTTCTCTTAAGATTGAACATATTATCATGATTCTCTTGTGTATGAATATATATATGTATGTGCATAATACATATAGTGTATTGTAAATTAGTAAAATAGTTAAAGAACAAAAATAATGTTTTTACCTTTATTTTATACTTGTACAAAATTTTATACATTTATATTGTTATATTTACATATAGATATAAATTTATATATATATTTATGTTTTAATTTTATTTCCTTTTTCTAGCATATAATCTATTTATTGTGTAAAACTCAATCGATGTTAATACCATCAACTAGTGACCTATCTCATTTATGCTCCTTAATTTCAAACTATTTGAAAAGCTCTCATGTATTTATTAGAAATGCAACACTTCATGGATTGCTTTCTTTACTTGAGTGTTGTTCGAAAACAAATACAACAATTGGAAAGTTAAGTGATGAACTTTCAATGTTAAGAGATCTAATAATCGGTTATATAATACGACATGGAATTATTGAAGAAAGGTTTGTTCCTATTTCTACTTTTGTATTATTAACATTTTTTTTTTTTTGTTTTTGTATTTTGTTTTTGAAGATATTTAATTTTTATGTTATATTTCATGTAAGTATATTTGTGAAATTTTATTTTGTTGAAAATGTTAGTAATAAATATAAATAGTTACTTGTACATAGTATGTAAACATTTTACAAATGTATAGGTAAATAGAAATTTCATTAAAAATAAAATGAAGGTGATAAATACAAATTTGATTTTCTTGTATCATCATTCTTTGTATTTAATTTTTTTTTCATTATTTCTGTATTAGTTTTAAGGATATTATTTCATTTGTTTGATGATTATTGTATTCATTTTATATAACAACTACACATAACAGGTTTATTTTTACTAATGTTCTCAAGAAAATAATGCAAAAATAATTTTTTTTCAACATTTCTTTAAATTTTTAAAGAATTTATCTAACAGGATAATTATAAAACTATCACATACCACATTTCTGGTATAAAAAATATTTAATTGAAAAAAAAAAAAATAAAGAAAAAAAATTAAATTAAAATTAAATAATTAAAATATTCATATTGAATTGCAATTTCCAGATTTAAAAGAAATTATTTTTGTGATGAGCCACAAAAATGAAATTCATTTTAATTAATATATAATGATTTTGAGGATTTTTCTTTTTTTAAATTAAGAGATTTTTTTAAGAATTGCAAATTAATTATTTACATAATGGCTATATTCGAAAACTACAGAATTAAAAATGTTAAATTATTATTGTATTTGAACATTTAGAGTACGCAATTTAGTAATATTTAAAGTAGTCTTATTTTGCTAGGTATGCAGTATTACTGCCTTGAAATATCACTATAATCAATATGCTTTATTACAGTTTTTAAGAGCTAACGGATTGATCGTCTAATACAGAAGATAGGGTTATTTGAAATCTCGTCATTTATTATTATTTTCACCTCGTTATTAATTTCTTTTGTTTACATACAATAATGTGTCTAGTGTGTCTAGAGTCTAATTTAGATTTCACTTTATTTTAAATCAAAATGTCAAATTCACTTAGCTATATTTGTTTTACTAGAATAAAATAATTTGTAAAACTTGAATGATTTTATTTGATACCTTTAAAACAGAATCACTTGTTAACATAGAAATAGTTATATTAATAATAGTTATATAAGTTATTTTCTTATATTAGTTAATGGTCATTTCTTATTATTGTTTTTTTAAATTAACACACATACGTATAATATAATTATTTAAAAAATCACGAAAAATAGATTTATTCGGTTTTCGATTTTCATCATATAGAATTCCTTTTGAATTTAATACTTATTGTGTGTATAGAATAAATAATTGTATAAAAGAAATTAAATAACATGTTATAATATAAATTCTACGAATTCAATATAAAATTGTTATTGTTAATACAAGATTAATTCCATATATATATGGAAAAACCGAAATCTTCTTAAAAGGATTCCTTTAAAAAATAAAAAACAAAATGAAAAAAAAAACATGTCCTTACATCTATTGCATACAACACATGAAAACGTACATAGGAATGGTGAATAAAAATAGAAAATAGAAAATATATAGTGCTTAAAAAAAGAAAAAGGAATAAAGAGATTATTGATTATATTTATGTAAGAGTTGGGGAGAAAACAATAACAACAAAAAAAAAAGCAAAAATAAATAAGGCAAACAAGCATTTAAGTTTGAAATTCTAGGGTCCTTCTATATTAAAATAGAACACAACAAAAAAAACAAAATTGAATTAGCTATAAGGAAATAATTAAAAAAATTCTCTCTTCTAGATTTTTAATACAATTAAAAATAATAATGTTGTTCAATGTACAATTGCTTTTATTTTGAAAATTTAGAAGGAAATTCTATATTAGTATACTCGTATAAATGTGTTTTGTACTTATAAGTATGTCACATATAATACGTTTTTGTTTTTATACCCGTACGAACGTATGTTCGAAGGGTATACTAAATTTGCCTTACCGTTTGTAACGCTCTGAAATAACAGTGTTAGATATAGACTCAAGTGTATGTTTTTGATCAGCGTCAAATTCTGAGTTGATTTAGCTTTGTCTGTCCGTCCGTCCGTCCGTCCGTCCGTCCGTCCGAACGATAACTCAAAAACTAATTGAGCTAAGTTCACCAAATTTTCACAAATGATTTATTGTAGTAAGTGCCAGAACCCTATTTAAATTGGATATGATCGGAGGTAACGGTTCGGGTAGCTGCCATACAACTTCAAAATTTATTTGGCTATATCTCAGAAACTATAAAAGTTATGGTATTGAAATTTCACACAAACGAATATATTAGTAGGGCCAATATGCCACATAAAAGTCGTTGAAATTACTTGGCTCCTTCTGGTACCTGCCATACAACTTCAAAAATTATTTGGCTATATTTCAGAAACTATAAAAGGTGTGGTATTGAAATTTCATACAAACGAATATATTGGTAGGGCCAATGTGTCTCATAAAAGTCGTTGAAATTACTTGGCTCCTTCTGGTACCTGCCATACAACTTCAAAAGTTATTTGACTATATCTCAGAAACTATAAAAGCTGTGATATTGAGATTTCACACAAGTGAATATATTAGTAGGGCCGATGTGCTTGATAAAATTCGCTAAAATTTCTTGGCTCTTTCTGGTAGCTGCCATACAACATCAATAGTAGTTTGACACAACCAGTATTTTGAATAACACATAGTACTGAAATTTTGCATAAATTAATATGGTAATACGGCAACTTAAAGTCATAGTCTGCCCCAGAGTTAGTTATGGCACATTAGTTATCACAGAGGTATCACAGAGTTGACAAGGTCAACTCTATTTTTTTTCTCGTTTTTCTTTGTTTTTTGTCAATTTATTTGAACATTATTCTTATAATTATTACTAACGTAATATGGTTGATATTACTAACTTAGTATAATGGATAGCTAGTGTTAATTTTGATAAAATTATAAATAAAATTAATTATAAAACTTTAATTGAAATATTGAATTTTTTTAACATAATTTTTTTTCTTTCAATATCTTTTCATATTAAATGTGAAAATCACAAATAAATTTGTTGAAAACAAAAAATCTGATCATTACGGAAAATCAACAAATTTTTTTTTTTTTTTTATGCTTGTTCATCCTTGGAATTCATCATTATAAAAACAGTTCACTTACATTTAGTGATTTACATACGAAATTAGTATGGACATTAAATTTCAGTTTAATTGAGATGACAGTGAAATTTGTTCCAGATTGTAATTTATTGTCGAATACGATAATATCAGCAAATAATCTATTAAAAAGGACATCAAATGAAGAAATTTATTTGTGTGTACTACATGTAAGTATAAAAATGTGCTTTTCTGTATTATACAATATACATCTAAATTTTTTGAATGAAAAATGTATAATAAATTATTTATGTATATATGTATATATTTCAAAAAATTTATTATAGGTTAACTTTAGAGTATTTTAAGGATTTTATTGGATATCATCGATTTTTAAATATAAATTAGTTTGTTAATTGTTTTCGAATTAAAATTAAAATGTCCATAAAGGAATACTGGTTTCGTTTTTTTTTGAGAAAATGTACACTAATTGTTTTATACGTATAGGTACCTATAGTGTAATATTTTAAATGTAAATTTTATAATGATTAACAGTTTTAAATGTAGTAAATGAATTGGATCTTCTTTTACTTTAAATTCATATAGTTATTTAATTTTAGACAGATGTCAACTCTAAAATTGTTAATCATTACGTAAATTATTTAAAATTACTGCCCTGTATAGTGTTTAGCAAGTTTAGTTGGTTTAACACAATGAATATTTCTAGTAATAACTGTTTTATTGGAAAATTAAATTTTGTTTAAACAATATTGTCACTCAATTATGTGGAACTAATTATGTGTACCTAATTACGAAACTAATTATGTGAACTAAGATGTTTTAAATTTTTTATTAATACAAGATAATTTTAAATTTCCAATTAAATAAAATTATGATAAAATGATAAGCAATTAAATATTCTCCTAGAAAGTTCAAATCAAATAATTTCTTTAAAATTCAAGTAATTTCTATCATTTTTATTTGTTAATTTTCATATTTGAAATTTAATGTGTTGTTAACTGCTTTATTTGTGTTTTCTCAAAGGCAGAGTCGTCTTCCTTAGTCTAAATTTTATTCACTTTGTGATGAAAAGCACTTACAAAATATCCCTAAATTTTTGATGTATTAAGTTAGAACAGTGTGATTTAAAATCTTAAAAATTTAGAAAGTCGAAATAAGTATTTTTTATTTATTTGATTTTTAAAGAAGAAGAGCTGGAAACAGGCATTTTCCATAAGCAAAGCCGACCTTGCGTATAGTAAACATTACCTGAACGAAACGGGATAGAGAAACTCCTTAATTTTTTAAAAATCAAATATTAAAAATAATTCGAATAAATATAATCGTGTTACCTTTAATATTTACTGTAGATATAAATGTTTTTATAATTTTTTTTTTGATTTATTAAAGAATTTTACATTTTTTTATTTTAATGATGCGAAAAGCAAAAAGAAAAAAAAATTATTTAAAAATTATTGCATTTATTTTTACAGGGATTAGAGAGAATAGTGGCTACAAATATTGTTTCATCTGTTATTCGAAGTAAGATTGAGAAATTGGCGCTAGAACTTGTTAAAATAGATAATGAAAGATTTTCCATACCAGCTTTAAAATTATTATTAACTTGTGTTTATATGGGTAAGTTTAAAGATAATTTAACAATTTTTTTTTAATAAAAATATTAATAAGATAAATTCATTAAATATTTTAATTAAATAACATTTAATAAGACCCTCATTATTATTATACGAAATCGTTTTGTGTTTAGTTTTTGTTATGTAATAAATTTTTAAATAACATTTCCTGATTGGTTTTACGAAACAAATTTATTATAATTTGTTTTGTATTTTTCCATACATTGTAAAAATAAATGTGCTACTTATAAGCATGTCTTTAGTTACTCCACTCAGATACTGCCAGCAAAATTTTTTTTCGTGCCCCAAAAAGTATGCAATTTATTTACAAAATAATTTCTTGCTGGCTTCAAACCTTAATTTAAATACGGGAATATAGAACGCTTATTTGATTAAATTTACAGTTTAAAATTAAAGATTTTATGAGTCCCTTCTTATTATGTCTACTCTGTAAAATTTTGCTTCTGACGGATTTTTTCTATTTCCAACTACATATTACAGATTGTTAATAACTAAGCCATGTAAAGTAATAAAATTTTTTAATTCAAATGAGTTAACAATGTTGGAATCTTGTTATTAATTAAAGAATTTATAATTCATGTGAACTTACTAAGTTACTTAAATTTATTATTCTGTTTAGAAATATAATTAATAATTATGATAGCTATATTTAATTTTTAATGAATATTTATTATTTTCATTTTTCTCAAAAGGCTCAACTAAACAACTTGAAAATACTGAACTTTCAAATGGTATTGTACAAGATGATCCGGAAATAATTATTCAACAAACGGATAAAGTCGATATTTTATTACATTGTATTAAATCATCGAAAAAATCTGCTGCACAAATTTATGGTAAAGTTTTGTGCCAAATAGTTCGTGACTTGGTGCCACCAAAAGAGATTCTAACAAAAGTTATAAAAGAATTTTTGGCAATAAATCAACCGCATTGCGAAGTCATAGCTAGTATCGTACATCAGGTAGGAAAATAAAAAAAATTACCAAAACAAAAACATAAAGAGGAAAATAAGTAAAACTAAAAAACCCAATACACAACATTATAATTGTCCTTTTTGTTCCTTCAACATAAAAAACAAAAAAAAAAATTATTTTTTTGTACTATAATTTTTATTCATGAAATTAAATGAGATAAGAGAATGTAAGAAAGAAGACCACATAAACTGATGTAAATCTAGAAATTGGAAGAAAAATGAAAGTAGGAAGAAAATTTAAAAATATTTTTTTTTTCTATTCTTTTAAAACATCACATTTTGTTTTTTTACAGATAATATATTTTGAAATTTACTAGGTTATCAAAATATAGTACAGGAATATTTTAAATGTTTTACGTATACAACATTCATACTTACTTTGTTTATTTAAATTAAGGATATTTTAAAAAGTTTTTGATTGTTTTATTTTTATGTCCTTATTATATACATTAAGTTTATTTAAAATTGGATCAAGATGTTGATCTAACTTAAGAAGTAAAAGTGAAATGAAAAATAGAGAGCATATAAGAAGAGATTTTTAAAATAATAAAAAAAATAATCTTCCATTAGTATTTGTCCCTGTTTTCGGCATTTTTTTTGAGGGATACACAAATATGAATATGATAATAAATAAAATATTTAATGATCATAAATTTAAAATCAAGGATAAATTTCAATTCTTGAGTATATTTCATATAATTTTATGAATAATTTTGAGAGCAAATGTAGTCGTTTAAACTACTTTATTGCCATGTCAGGCAAATATGCATGCATTATGTTATTGCACATAAAATTTCAGTGTATTTATAATTAAAGATTAATTCCACTTTACTCAGTTTAATTCGCAGTTAAATTCAATTAAATAAAGTCAAACTAAGATTTGAATTTATGAATAATGAGAAATCATTTTGAAATGACAATATAACCATTTTTAAAGTAGAAATCGGAATAACCAAATAGAAATAAGGTCGGAGCGCTGGAAAAGTCCTCGGGGGCTGTGGCAAGCCAAGTAGCTTTTGTGACTAGAAGCGAGATTTGAGAAAATTATAGGAATGGGCAAGAATCAGGTGAAAATCCTCACCGGCGTTTTGACGGGTCACTACAGACTTAGCGGACACCTCAGTCGGCTGGGCTTGGAAAAAAAGGCACTTGCAGATTCTATGGGGAGGATGGGGAAACCTCGGTGCACCTTCTGGGGGAGTGTGATACTCTTGCTCTTGGAGGGGAGAGGTACTAGGAAGCTTTGTTGTAACGGCGGCGGAGTAACGGTCTTCCGGTTCTCACAAGTCGCTTCAGTTCATCAAGGGTCTCGAGCGTGTGTTGTAGGGAATGCACCGCACTGGGTGGGGGGTGGGGGGTCGCACAATATATCCTTATACGTGGTTCCGGTGCACTGTTTCCCCCGTTGTACAAATCTACAAAAACGAAATAGAAACCATTTAAGATGTGAACTTCACTGATAAATTTTTAAATTAATAAAATTTTTTTTTCAAATATTTTTCAGCAAATTTTCCCCCAACTTGCTAATATCAATTTTTTCCTAACCCTTATAAATAATTTAAATAATACAATATGTTTAGTTCACAAAAAACATTTTCGACTATATCTTCATTGCCTTATCATTATTAACGTGTAATTCATTTTTTTTTTCAGGTATTTCGTTCTGCTATTGATTCATCATTTTTACAAATGTTACAGGAATGGTTAATATGTTCATTACCAACATTTTTAAATTTAACAGAACAAAAATCAATTTGGTCCTTAACTGTTATATTTATTTCATCATCAATTAATTTACATTTAATAAAATTATTTCCAGTTGTTTTAGCAAATTATAATGAAAATAATCGTGAACAACGTTTATTAACAATTGATAAGTTTAATAAAAGTAATTCATATCAATCTGAAATTAATTTATTTGTAACATCCGCTAAAGATTTTTATTCAAAATTAAATCAAGATCAAAAATTACGTTTTAAAGAAGTTTTTCAATCACATCAAAAACAACAACAGCAACAAAATCAACATTATAATCAAGGAATGCAACACCAACAACAACAACAACAAAAAAGAATCTCATGCCGAGGTGACGGCAAAGTTTTTCAATTAGTGCTCGATAGCTTGTAGGAAGCAAAATATTGTGTTATAGCTGTAATATAAGCAAAATGAAAAAAATTGTAAAGAAAATTGTTTTTTTCCAGAAAAAAATTATAAACAAATTGTTTTAAATATTTTCTTTTATCTATTTAGATAAAATTGTGTATGAATATATATGTGAATTTCAATTATTACTTCTATATTAAATGTTCATCATGATTGTATATAAATTTAAGTACATGTATATTTATTAATTAGCAGAAAATTATTTAGAAAAAAAAATTGTAATTACAGATAAAATATTTTTTGTTTTTTTTTATTTTTAATTATTATTAAAGTACCTTTTTCATATTGTTTAATTGATATTGAAACAAATTATTGGTTTATTTTTATTGCAACGAAAATTAAATTCAAGGCCTCTGGTAAGATAAACAAGATAAAATTGTACAATATAATTAAATATGAAGAATTGTAAACAAACTTCCATTGCGTATTGCAATTTTATATAAAAAAAAAAAAAGAAAATTTCAATTTTAAAAGTTTATTTTTTTATTATTATTATTATTGTTATTGGTTTACTGATTGGTTTTTGTGTATTGAAAATCTAAATAACATTATAATTGTATTCTAATATTATAATTAAGATAAAATAATAAAGAAAAAAAGAAATTATATTTTAATCAAAAATTTTTGCATTTTTAATTTTATTAATTAAATTGTAGCTAAAAATTTCTTAATAATAAAAATATTAAATTGTTTCTGATACGTGCCTGCAATAACATTTTTATTAATTTTTTAATTCCATTAATATTTAATATTAAACGGAATTTTCAGTTCTATTCACAAGAATATTTCTAAAAATTTCAGTATTCTTAAATCTTCACTAGTATTATTAATCTAATATAAATTTATTTTTTTATAAATTTTATAGAATAGCGTCCTACAATATTAATAAGATTTTTATGGCAACTTGATTTTGTTTTGCAAAATTTTTTCAATTTTAATTTAATTTCACAAAAATTAAAATTAATTTTAGTACTAGAGCTATTCATCACAATGTCAAATTTAAATCAAATCCAAGTCATTAAATCATAATTTTTTAAGAATAAGTTTTTTATATGTGTGTGCAATCTGAATGAACAAAATTACTACAAAAAAACAAAAGTGAGATTTGTGTAACTTTTTTTTTATATCTTTAAAATATTGAAATTTGCCGGGATAATATCGGTTTTGTGGCTTACCAAAATGTAAAACAAGATTCAGAAAATAATTCTATTTACCAAAATGCTTAACACACAGAAGAATATAAAGTTGATTTCAAAAAGTTTGCTTTTTTGTAAGACTCCCAAAGTAAGATTTTTTAGTGCAGAACATTTTGATCCAACCCTTAAAATGTTGTTAACTAAGGGATTAATTAATTTCTGTTAACTAAGTCATTACTGCAACATTTTAAATTCAATAAATAATTAATACACTTAAAATATAATATTTTTGATTTTTTCAATTTTGTTGAATTTTCAATACAAAGAGTATAGGAATCCAAATTTCATACTAACTTTAGATTAATTCAAATGAAGTAAAAAGTAAACGGGTACATCAGAATTTCATTTTCCATGTTAATTTTCAATGTTATTGAAATTAATTTTTTTCTTCCGTTTAACCTTAAGTTTTTTTTTTTCTCTTTTAATTTCAACTATTCAAATTCATGTTTTTCTTTAGAATTCCAAAACAGAATGAATTACGAATTCATTTAGTCCTTTTTAATGAGCGAATTACGAAAATACTAATAATATTATTCTTAACAAATTCATTTAAAAAGGTTTAATTTGCAGTCTTACGGAAGGTCATTACTTATTATTTATTTTCTATTAGAATATCGTATTCGTAAAACAACATCATTATTAGGATTTTGCTTAATAAAATTATTTTGAATACAATGGAAAAAAAAAAAAATAATTTTTGTTTTTTCTTCATTTTTCTTTCAATAAAACCAGCTAAACATTTTAAAACGTTTAAATACCAAAATATTCCAAATAAAATTATGAAAAGAAAACGGACGAAACCTTATTTTAAGGAACATGTATTTTATGTATTAGAAGAAACTATGAGTGTTGCGGGAAAAATAAAACAAAAAAAATTGGCTGAAAATAAATCAAGGATAATAAATTTAATTTAAAGAAAAAAAAAAGCAAAACATAAAGAATTTAATATTCTAAAAGAGAAATAAATTCATAAATAAAAATAAAAGAAAATTTATGAGATTTTTTAAAAAATTTTTTTTTTTTTCATTCAGTTTACCGCGACCTAATTTTGAATAGAAATTTGAAAAACACAGCAAGGAAATAAAATGAAGGAAAATTAATTCCTATTTCTTTTTTACCAAATTAAATTGGCCCATTTTTTTTTTTTTTGGTTCTCTTATGTATTTTGAATCCTTAAATGGATTTTCATATTATTATAAATTTTTGTTACCTGAAATCTGTAAAAATCACAAATTTCCGCTATATTTAAAATAAATTAGCGTAATTGAAATTTATAAAAAAAAGGGATGAAAATTTAAATGCAAATAAAAGGTTCTTAAATGCAAATAAAAAAAAAAGGAAATTATAGAAGGAACATAGGGTTTTTGAATTGTTGAAAAAAAAATTTTTGAATTTCCGAAAGAAAAATCTACTTGATTTAAAGAATTTAATAAAGAATAAAAGAAAAACCTAGGTTGTTGTAAGCAATTTTACAGACATTTTTGTTTTCTTTTTATATAGAAAAGTGATTAAGTGTAAATTGCACTTATTTAAGAAAAATTCGATGCTTTTAGCCTCGCCTAATTATAAAACAATTGAAATTTTGTGGTAGTAATTTAGTTTTCCTTAAAATCTACAACTGTTCATAATGTCTATTAAAGTTGTGGTAAAAATTTTTTTCGACTCTGTTATTTATTTAGAACAGAAAATTTATTGGTTTTAAAGAAGTAGTTTTTGAATGTATCTTAAGTTAATAGAAATTTCTTCATACAATTGCAGAACAGATACATAACGAAATCAAATGAACGAGAGTTAAAGGCAGAAAAATTAAAAAAATTTTTTCATCGAACTGGACTCGAACCAGTTTTCTAGGCTGACGCTCTACCAACTGAGCTATACAGAGGTATGAAGAAATTGCCGACGAAATATGTTCCGGACATTGCTTTATACTGTAGTTTTTAAATGTACTAATTTAATAATTATACTAATAAGATATCTACTGTGTAAAAATATAAAAATTTGTTTTGATTTTCAATTTTAGCCGTTCGAACAACTAATGAATTCTGAATTTAATTCTTTTTACTTGACTGGATCTTGTATAATACACATGATAAAGTTAAAAGAAATTGATTATTATACACAATTTACAATTTTTATTCCATATTATTCACTATAGAAAACGCGTATAGAACACCGAATATGCCTGGCTGAACCGGGCCTACCGACACCTAGAAATCATTATAAATACATTGCTTTTTAGTAGTTTGATAACCACAATGAAACTCGCTCATTTTCAGGTTAATAAATTTTAAATCATAATTTTGATTAATCATAGTCATAAGATTTATTATAACATGCACATTATATAATATGTGTTATATGTATAAATATTTAGTAATTGGGTGAATTCTCTATAATTAAATCATTTATTTTTGAAATGCGTGATATTCGAAATTGTGTAATTGTGTAATAAAATTTGATTTTTATTTAATAAAATTTCATATTTTTAACATATTCTTCATTAATACCGTAGATCATCTTTAAATAAAGTTTATCTTTTAACAAAAGGAAATTTTTTTTTTAACTAACGTATAACACTTTGGGAAATTTTTAACATTTAAAAAAAATATATTTGCCAAATCTCATCGATATGCAAATTATGTTCAGAAATAATTTCTATAATTTAGGAAGGGTTGATGACTCTATAATTTTATAAAGTTCGTGACCTTCTTATAGTCTTTTAAATATTTTAATATTTTAGATATGATTAAAATATTTTTTTTTTCTTGTTAATATTAAAATCAATTTAGTTCTTTTATTAATTTGTAACAATTAGCAAAATGAAATAAATTTTTTTTTTTTTTTTTGAAAAAGGAATAAAATAAGACAATCAATAAAAGCTATAAAGACATAGATTTTCTTTTTATTTAATTTCAATAATAATTTTTCATATTTCTTATAACTACATTCTTTTTTGTTTATACATACATAAATATTTACATACACATAAATTTTAGATTTTTATTTCATTAACATTTATTTTAACCCTAATTAATTATTTTAATATTATTATTATATTTATTGGATGTGGAACCTATATATTTAAGTAATGTACATTATTAGTCTATATAATTTATATATGTATATAATATTATGCTCATTAATAAATACTATCCTAAATTGATAACTATATATTAAGTTTAATTTATTATTTTTGATTTTCTTGGTGTTTTTGTTTTTTTTTTTTCAATATTTTTGTTAATTTTTCAAAAAGAGAATATAAGTTTTTCTAAGGATCAATAAATTTCATATTATTCATCATTAATATTTATATATTTGTATAATATGTGGATGTTATAATAATTCATAAATTTGCAATTATATAATTGCCATTTTGTATATTAAATTTTTTTTTTGATTTACTGGGAAAAGTATTTTGTTTGCAATTCCATAATCCCACTCCTATAATTAAGGAATACTCGAAATCATTAATCCTATTTAAACAAAAATGAGATATTGAAATATTTTCAATGAAAAAGTATAGGATCTATTAATACCTGCGTTATCTACAATTTTGTCAATGAGTGAGTAAAAAAAGGGGACGTTCAACAATGCGGTCAGTCTTGTTAAATAGTGAAAAATTTCCCATTTTGAGGGAATTTTGAAGTCTTGAAGGGAAAAAAGGCCAAAAGTCTTGGGAAATTTAATTGAATTTATTTCTGACAAAATGCATTTTACACTTGATAAAAAATTAAAAGCTCTTTTAATTATTTTGAGACTCTTAAACTGATATAGTATTACTTATATTAAAATTTGAAAGTACCTGTTTTATCATTATTAAAATATGCAATTGAAAAAATTATGAAATACATATTTTATTTTAAGTATAATGCTAGATGTATGGGTATAAATAAAAAATTTTTTAAAGGAAAATTATATGGGAAAAAATAGGGTTTGAAAAGGGGAAAAAAATGGGAATTTTTTAACTGAAGGTGGTAAATTGTACAAGAAAGATCTGGCAACGCTCAATACTGTTATTCCCTTTATTAGGATAAATGAAAACTTAGAACTAATATTGGTCATTCGCAATAAATAACTAAAAAATATGTGATTTTTTTTGCTCGAACCTTTCTCTAACTTGAGCTCCTTCTTAAATCCAACATAGCTTTATAAATCTAGCTTTTTTGAATATTAGATTTTGTATCGTATATTTTTGGTGTTGTATTTGTATTATGAAATAAAAAATTTGAAAATTTTCAATTCTTGCTCAATTATATTTTTTTTTTTGGCAGATGTCGGTATTCTAGTACTTATACACCTTTTTATAAAAATAAAGTTTTTTTTTTGTTTACATGTAAAATTGTAAGTGTATAAATTAATATGATTTATGTATCAAATTCTTAAGAAGTCTACGTAAGTACATCTGTAAAATATAATATTGAATTTTATTGTACATACATATATATATACACATACAGTTATTCTTATAGATTTATATGATATATATGTATGTATGTAGGTAGTGAGGAATTTATAATTAAATTTATATAATTTTTTTTATTTTGTTTCATTCATTCTTCATTAATTACAATGTACACATTGATTTTTTTTTTGTATATTCAAATTGTATATATACATATATACATAATATATTTTAATGTTATATACTTATGTATATTATTCATTTATATTATATGTATATTTTATTTGTTATTTATTCATTATTGATTTTGATAAGAATTAATACCTTATTAATTTAATTTACGTGACTTTTCCTTTCAAAGTTTTATTTCATCAGTTTTATTTATTTTTTTTTTTTATTTTATATCCATAATAAAAATTTTTCATTTCATTTTCGTTTATATACATACATACATATTATTATACTTAATAAATTTTTTATATTACACTGTTGAAAATTTAATTAGAGTTACCATTTTTGTTCGTAAATTCTAGTATGCTAATTCGTAAATAATGTAAAAAAAATGAAAATTTGTTAAGAATGTAAAAATTTTTTTAGTGACAATTCACATTGAGTATAAAAGTATTTGTATAATTGCTATGGAATCAATGAAACCATATTTTTATATTTAATTATACAAAATGTTTAGGTAACTTTCAACTCACTCTACAAATTTATTATTAAATTAATTTGAAAATTTCAAAAATTTAAGGACATTTTTCAGATTTTTCAATATTTATAAATTGGATTAATTTATTCGGATTTGTATAAATTGGATTTGTTTAGTTATTAACGTATTTTATTGTATACAATTAGAAGGCAAAAGATGTACCAAAATTAGATTTAACGCGAAGTTGAAATTAACAATGGCAATTAAATTTTTTATTATATGAATGCATATAGTTAAAATTGAAAATGACTACATTAGAAAGCTGTTAAAAAAATTTAGCACAAAAATTTTTTCGGATAAATAATGAAAATTTTTTTAATAAATCTAAATAGCAGACTTTTTTAATAAAAAGAAAACGGTGATAAAATTATTAGTTATAAAATAATAATATGGTAACACCTCTTTTGAATTCGTTTTTGGAAGCAAAAAATTTATGACATTTAAACGAAATTAATGTAATTGAGGACCTCATTCTAAAATAAGAATTTACTATTCTATTTTGGTTTATTTGCAAAAAAACATGACTTTCTTTTACAAGGTTTAAATAATTTGAACTGAGAAAATAGTATTAAAAATTTTAGATATAATATTTTAGAGAATTTTCCTCCATTAAATGACTTTCTGTGAGAGATCACTGAACAAATTCAAAAAAAATTTGGAAAGTTTTAGAACTGAATTAAATATAACAAATTGTCTATGAAAAATGTCTACTATATAGGTATAATAATTAATTTTACAAAAAAAAAAATTTCCTAAAATATTTACGTACTCTTTATTATATTACGTATTCTAAATTTATAGGAATTATATGTAAATATTATTGAATACGAACGGTAACTCTAATTTACGAACAATTAAATATTATATAAAGTATAAAAGAAAATTTATTTTTATTTATAATATTTTTACCGTTTTAATGACATAAAATGTAATATAATATAATGTATATGTATGTGTTTGTGAATTATGAAGAAATTAACAAAAAAAATATAAAGTTATAATAAAAACCTAAAATATAATATTACTGTTATTATTATTATTATTTTTATTATTATTGTTTTATTATTATTATATGTATATGCCGGAAATAAATAAATTAACTGTAAATATTATTGTGAATCTTCTACATTTTATATTATTATAATAGTATGTATAATATGCGCATCTTATATAATATATTACTTATTGTGCTCTTATATACAAAAACAAAAATATGTTTAGAATCATTTATTCAAGAATTAAAAAAAAAAAAAACAAAAATAAACGAAAAATAAATATGCATATTATATTTTCTTGTATACTCGTATATAAATTGAATGTAGGTGGTTTAATTTTTATAACAAATTATAAAAATAGAAGTATAAAAACCCACAAAATGGTATGAAAATAAATAAGAAAAAAAAAAAATTAATTTAATTTGATTAGATAACTGCCATACTCATACTATCTTGTACCGCTGATATTCTTCTTCTTCCTGATAAACCAGCAGCTGTTGTCGTTGTTGACAAGTCATTGTATTGTTTTGACGGACCAAATCGATAGGATGATGAAAAATAAATGGCCTGAAAATTCAATTAAATAGATTTTATTTTTATTTTCAGTTTATTTTATTTTATTTTTTTTTATATATATTGAATTTATACAATATATATAAGTAATATTGGTGTGTATTATGTGTGTATATATACTCCTATATATTATTATTATTAATGATATTAATTTAATAAATCTTTTTATTGTTCGCCTAATTTACGTTCACGTATGTTTGTATGTATTCTCGTATATGGTAAATTAAATTATATGTACGTATGTTAATAAGTGTAGTTTGTATTTATTATAACTGTTATTGTAGAATATATTTATATAGAATTCGAATATAATATAAATCTTTATTTATGGTGATTAATTTTGCTTTAGTAATTAATAAATTTATTTATATTTCTAATTTATTTATCTGAGGATTTTTCTATCCTCTTTTCTACTGAATTTTCTAATAAATTATTTAATTGAAGTTTTTTTTTGTTTTCCTTTTTTTTTTTGATATGCTTTTTTTATAGAAAATGATGAAGGATACGGTATTTATATTATGTAAAATAATAAAAAAAAGAAGAAAACAAAATTATTTTTATTTTATGGATATTTTATTGAAAATAAGTTATTTTTTTTTTTTGGTTTACTTTGTTAGTTGTTGGCAGGTTACTCATATTTTTTTTTTTATTTGTTTTGAATAATTTGCCATATAGAATGTATAATAATTATGAAGAGTTGAAAGAAAAATAAGAATATTATAATATTGTGGTTTAAATACTACAATGTCAAAAAATAAGAAAGTGTGTATGAAATACGCATATTACATTTAAGGTGATCTAAAAAAGGAAGATTCAGAAAATGATGAAGGAAATTTTGTTTTTTTTTTTGTATTGAATTTAATTTAATTAACTATATGTATATTAAATTGGTTTTTATTATATTAATAGGATTTTGAATATTAATTACTGTGAAAGAGAAAAAACAAATTGAAATTTATTAAGGTTTGTTTCATATTTACTGGATGTGTTTTATGTATATGCGGAATATTTCATAAGAGTTAATTGAAAATAAATATTCACCTTGAAAATATTTTTAATTTTGTACAAATATCATATAGCAATTCCTATATTCCTATATTCTTTTAAATATATAGAGTAGATTTTTTTTCTCTACTAGGTGAAAAACTCTCAAAAGATGAAGAAGGACGGCGCTAACTGCCTTTTTCCTTCGACAGTGGAGGAGCGTGACTCCTACCCTAAAAAATCACCTAAACTATGAACGGATAAAACTGGTCCTATACAGACCAACTATTACCTCCGCGCTAACTTGGTTTTTTCGTACAGGAATTAAATACCTTCCATAAGGAAATTGGTATTTCGTGTTAAATCGAAAGGTCTTGTTCGTTTAAGTCTTTCTGTCATAACGTCATTGTCTAGCAGACGATATAAAGTACATAGATAAAATAAAAAAATTCTTTATGTAAGAATTCTCATCAATATTAAATATTGATTTACTATTTTGAATATGAATTGATTTTAGTTTAATCAGATCAACCGCTTGGACTTGTCATGTTTTCTTACTTTATAATTTTTTGGAAATACAACAAAATCTTTTGTTAAATAATATGCCTTTTTTACAAAAATATAGTGTAATCAATATTGTATTCAATATATTCGAAATAAACAGCATCGAAAGATGATAATGTAGTATAATTTTCGCCTAAACTTATGCAATTTATACGAAGTATTATAATATTTTAACAAAAGTAAAATTTCTATACGTTATTTTTGTAAGAACTCTTTGAAATATAAGAGCAATGTGATCTAATGCTTTTAAAAATTTATTACATATACTGAAAGATCATTTTCGAAAACCTATGAAAGTGGTCATAAGTTAGAAATTGGATCAAAAATATTAGCATTTAGCCGATGATATATTTTTTCGGTAGATATTTTGTAATTTCTAGTTTTACTTTAACATAGTTAATTTATTTTTGTTAATTTTTATTAAATTTTAATTATTTTTATAATTAAATATGAGACGCTAAGCGCATTAGTGGCCTATCCAATATTTTTTACAAAATTAAATTATTATGTTCAATAGAGCTGTAATAGTTTAAAGAATTATTTTATTTTTTCAAAATTTAGTTTACTTCTTTTTTCACTTCATTTGAACAGAAGTTCGTTTTTTTGCTTTTAAAAATTTTCTTAAAAATTAAATATTTAAACATTTCAATCACATACTCGAAATGTCATTTTTGAAAATAGGCTGTTAATGCACTGAGCGCCTTATATACTAATTATATATTATATGTACGAACTTTGTAGTTCTGTAATATTTTGTTGTATAATATTATCTTTTTTGCAATAATTGCTAATAATCTCAATTTCCTTTTCAATATTTTTTTTTGGATTCAAAATCTTATTTGAACTTTGTCTTTTTCTATTCATATAATTAAAGGTAATAATTAGGCATTATGAATTAAATAATTGCTTTTTTACTTAATTCAGAGGGATGAAGAATGTTCTCTAACACGTAAAATCATTATAATTGTTTTATATTCCAAAAATTAGGAGTTTTAGTTGAGATTAATTAATAACTAATTTCTTTACAGTACTTAATTATGTATAATAGTTTTGTACACAGTAAATTGAATAATATATGGGTTTTGTCAATGTGGATTTGTCAATGTGACGATAATTAGGTAATTGTTCTTTTCAAATATAAAAGCATAAAATTGGAAGTTGATTCTAGTTTTTATCTGATTTATTTTTTATTTTGATTTGGTGTTATTGTAAAGCCTAATTGGATAAATACCAAAAAAAAAGCCTTATTTCAAATTATTAATTGCGCACTGCTCCGATCTAGTACTTTCAAACTCTAATATTGAAATGTGCCATACCATTTTATGGTTAAACACAATTTAATTTATTAATTTTATTCATAATTTATCATCATCTGTTTTTACATTAATTTAGGTATAACTAACACCAGTTTCACTTAATTTATACAACGTTATTGCATAATTAATATAAATTGACTAAATATGAAAATATTATACCTTTTATTTATAATTTATTTGCCAATACAATTATTTTACTATTCTTCATTAATTTTTAATTTTTGAATTTGTTCATTATATAAAATAATGTCAAGAGTTTCCGTTCCCATATTATTGCCTTTTTCGATTTCATTAATTTGATTTTCATCATCTGTAAATATTTCTTCGGAATCTGTATGAGAAATTGAATTCTTATTGGCAGGAATTTTTTCGTAAAGGTGGAATGTCTGAAAAATTTTAATTTTTGTTTGTTTTTTGTCATTAATTACATGTTACATTTGAAATATATCTTTTTGTAAACATATGATGTAATGTTTTTTAGTCCATCAAATTCCAACATTATGTAATTATGTAATGAATATAGTGGCTAGAATGTAACGTTTATGTTTTTGTTTAAAAAGTATGGCTTTTTGTCACTTTTCAAAATTTTTTTTAATGGAAAAATTAATTATACCGAAAAAAACAACAAACAAATTTAATGGTACAATGATAAATGAAAATCAATTATTAAAATGTTCATAATGCCCTTCACAAAATTCATGAGTTATGGTTTTATATAGTTGAATGGATTGAGCAAATGTAAAATGGTTATGAAAACTTTTGTTTATTTTTCACTGATCCAAGATATGCCAAATAAAGTTTTAAATACCAAAATGTAGTTCAAAGTTATTAATATTATAATATGAAGAGAAAACTAAATTTATTACATTTTCCATATTATTAATTGAATTAAAATCATATTTTTTAATATTGTAATTATAATCCTTTATTATTGTATAATGTGTTCAACACGCGTAATCAAATTTGCTCTAAAAATAATCGAATTTAGCAATTAATATTATTAAAATATTTTGATTTTAGCAATTTTTGATATTAAAACAATCCTATTTTATTAAGATTTATTATGAAAATTAATTTAATAATAGAATTTGTTTATAATAATGTAATAAATGAGCAAAACAATTTTGATAAACAATAATATTATTTTTAATAGAGCGGATTGAAAAACTCGAATAATAGTTATAAAAAGTAAAAATGGCTTAAATGATTTTATCTTACGCAATCATGGAAGATTTTAATGTATTCTACAGAATCCTATAATACTGATTTTCGGACTCTTATTGTTATAAAAAAAATTCTTATTTTATAAATAAAGTGTGCATTATTTTATTTTATCCTTTAAATAAGAATTTTATTATTCAATTCTCATTGAACAAAATTTTTACAGACCACATTGCTTACAATAAGGGAAGTTATGTGATAACACCAAATTTCAAATATAATATTTTCGGTGAAGGAGCGTGAGCAAATTATTTTGAGCAAGATGTCAGTCTGTCGATTTGTCTGTCTGTGTGTGCAAAGGCATATATCTCAAGTTGGGCTGAAACGATTTAAATAAAATTTTATAGGTTAGTTTATTTTAAATATGGTACGGATCAATGTACTTTTGTGATATATCAGAGCTCGGAAAGTAGAGTTTTCATTTAGGCCTGTTTTAAATTTTTGATCATTTTGAAGAAAATATTCAATATATAAAATTTTTGGAATTATAAGGGCTCAGAAACTGAACTAAGGAGTTCAGTGTGGTGCCGGAATTCCCTAACAAACTTTTTTTGGAATTTGAATGGCATAAAGTGAAACTTTATTAAGAGCCAAATTCAGATTTTTTAATTATATTAACTAAAAGTTAGTAATCTCTTCTTAAAATTTGAAACATATTATTAATTTAATTCGAATTTCTTTATACAACTGCATAACAGGTGGATCACGATTACGTGATTATTTGATGTCTTTGATTACAAAAGAAGGAGTTAAAGGCAGAAAATTTTAAAAAATTTTCTCCTCCAACTGGATTCGAACCAGTGACCTACCGCTTTCTAGGCGGACGGTCTATGAACTGAGCGACAGAGGTACGAACAAATTGGCGGCGAAATGTTTTTCACAATTTTTTATACTGTAATCCACATACTT